TTCACTCCACTACCACTCACACTCACACTCCCCTTGCCCTTCCTTACCTGGAGACAACCTTTTCTCGAACCTTACTTAAGGTGGTCTTGTCTTGACACGCACGTCTCCGAGACACTCTTCCTTCTTGGCCAAGACAGCTCTTCTTCGACATCTTCTTCCATCTTCCATCGTTCCACCACATCACTCCATCTCTACTCTACACACGCTTGTTGAACGCTTATTGCACGCTTATTCTCCATCCCACCACGCCGCAAACGTCGACGGTGACGGTCAATATCAAAACATCGCCCTCTCACTATTCGCCATATACTTCTCTGCGCATCGCTTGTTCTATCGGTAAGTGGCGTAACTCTCTGGGGTTTGGAAACAAACGCTGCGAAGCGAAGCAAAGCAAACTTAACTTACACACGAATAGACTTGACGCAACCGGAGGCCAAAATGGCAAACTCCAACGTTCCGCTAAACCCTACCTTCGTGGGACACGTTGCCTCTACTCTGGATGCTTTGGTCCTCTTCGAAGCTTGCCTCACTAGCGCCTTGCATCATGTGCCCAGAAGACCACACGACCGTGAGAGACAAGACCTCATAAAGAGCGGTAATGTCTTCATTTACGAGGAGCACTCGTCTGGCATCAAGCGCTGGACCGACGGTGTCGCATGGAGTCCCAGTCGCATCTTGGGCAACTTCCTCATCTACCGAGAGCTTGACAGACCATTCCCACCCGGCGAGAAAAAACGTGCCATGAAGCGGAACAAGAAGACTACCGGCGTCACCAAGCCCGAGGTTCCTAGGCAAAACAGCGTCAACGGCGCAGGCGCTAACATGGCTGGCATGGGCGACGCCTCTCCCAGTAAAGACGCCGAGAGAGCACTCATCGGCTCTTTGGTAGATTCCTACCCCTTCAAGGAAAATGGTCTAGTCAAGAAAACCATCAGCGTCACCTACCAAGGGGTCCCTCACCACCTCGTGTCTTACTACAACGTCGAAGATGTCACGGACGGCAAACTTCTTACCCCATCAAAGGACCATCAGTTATCCACCATTATTCCACGAGGCGAACTGATCATGTCGCAAAACTTCCGAGCCCCCATTGACGAGGTGGAAATGGACGACCAACGCGGTCCACACGGCAGTCTCTTCGCCCACAACTATCCCATCAACGGCCATCATCAGAACATCTCGCGCGCCATGTCGGTACCCTCCCTTCCCCATCACATGGGCGCCATACCCCCTCAGTTCGCCCAGAATCACTACATGCCGCAGTATCTTTCGGTGCAGGGTCCCGTCAGCAGCGTCAGTTATGCGCCGCCCCAACACCACGCATACACGTACGACAGTATGGGGAGGTCCACCAGGTATCCCTCAACTGCCGGCCTGGCCTCTGACATGTCACGATCAATGGCATTAGAGCCCCAACACCCACGCCGCCACTCGACAGCGTACGAACCCACCTCCGCCCCGGATATGAGCTTAAGCGGCAGTCTACCTGCCGTCCACGACCCGTCGAGATACATCGGCGGAAACTATATGACGCCGATGCTCTCGTCACAACAGCGAGTTTCCGACATGTCACCACACGAGGCATTTCCCGCCCAGTCTCCAAGGAACGTGCACGGCGAGTCGGGTTTGAGCGGTGACAGAACGCAGAACATGACCTTCGACGGCCTCAGCCGCGAGTGGCCAAATCCGGGATTCGACCAGCTCGATGACGACCAGAACCCGTATATGCCGCCAGGGAACTCAGGATGGGGCGGAGGGAACAACAGCAGGACCTGAGAAGAGCGATACCAGGCGCCAGCAGGTTTTCGACCCTAAAACAGCGTGGGGTTTGTAACAAGAGATGCAGGAAAATAAAAAGGCAACCCTCGGTAGGGTTCGCCAGAGGATCGATCGCCCCTGAACGACAGAGTGGAAATGTTGCGGGGCCGATACCTTATCTCAGAAGAGCGAGGGCAGAACACCTCCGCCACGACAATACGCGGCGTAGGAGACAGCAGTTTGAAGACGGCCTGGGGGATTGGGTTCCCTTGTAGGTTGGCCTACACGCAAGTGGTGCTGTTGAGCTCGCAAAGATTTGACAAAGGGCCCTGAAGCCTACCGCAATAAGCGACGAGTCGAGCAAGTCCAATCTGCTTGCCAAGGAGACACGGGGGGTGCCCACGATGGTTCGAGTTGTCTTTCGACCTCGTCCAGATGCGGATTTTCCTTAGCTAGTTCACCCGCAGAAACCACAATATAGTAGTGAGTAGTATTGAACTGGTGCAACTCCGGCTGCGACATGTGAAGTGGTTTCCAGACCTGGTGGGCTGTAGCTAAGCACACGGTAGCTTCCGGTGGATGTGATTCATCGGCAGTTGGTTATGCAATATATACCCTAATATGCACATAAACGAATTCGCCCCGCTCAGTGTGCACCTGTGACCAATCGCCGAGCTCTGCTGAGAAAGGAGGCTTTGATTCATGATCCGAACTGCCATCACTCGGCTCTGCCTTGTTGTGTGCGCCTAGCTCTTCCCTTGACGTAACGGACCGCGGCTGGCGACTGCTGTGGTTGACGTCGGCCTCGGGAGGCAAACATGTCGTCGCTCTTTAGGCTCGGCGCCCGGAAGGCTTCGTCGCATTGTGGCCGATTGTCCACTCGATCACCACTCACGATTCCGTCACCGTCATACTGGCGGCCCTCACCGAAGCTTGCCGGTGCTCTTCTAGCTAGCCCTGTCCAGCGTCCATCGCACCCGTTTCCAGTCGCGTTCTACGCCTCCCAAAGCGGCGGCAAGACTCCAAGGTATGTACCGGGAGAGCGGGTTGGAGAAGGCGTTCGGGGACAGGAGCGATTGATCTGACTGACGGTGTCTCCTCTCTCTCTCGCAGCTCGACCGCAGCCAAGATCGCCGCCAAGATCCCAACACTCCCCAAAAGCTTGCACGAGGATATTTACACGATCCCCAACCTTCTGACGCTATCACGTCTAGCCGCTGCGCCTTTTGTCGGCTACTTCATTCTCCACGACCAACATGCATGGGCTCTGGGTCTATTCGCATATGCTGGCATCACCGACCTGTTGGACGGATGGATCGCCCGTCGTTGGAAACTACAGACCGTGGTCGGCACTGTCATTGATCCCATGGCGGACAAGGCACTCATGACCATCCTGACGGTATGTCTGGCTGCTCAGGGCTCCCTTCCAGGTAAGTTTACCCGCTGTTCCTACCCCTCCCGTAAGGGAAACGCGAGAACGTACAAAATACTAGGCAATGGGGGAGCATGAATTGGGATACAAGAAAAATTGCTGGACGGATCTGGAAGATGCTCGAGGAATTCGACTGCTGACGCTGTCGCTGCGACAGTCTGGCTAGCCACCATCATTCTCGGCCGCGACGTCGGACTCGCCATATCTGCCATTTACTACCGCTGGATCTCTCTCCCAGCCCCCAAGACGTTTGCACGATATTGGGACTTTTCTTTGCCCTCGGCTGAGGTCCGTCCCACGACGATCAGCAAGTACAACACGTTTCTCCAACTGGCCCTCGTTGGCCTCACGACCGCGGCCCCTGTTCTGACTTACGACCTGTCCTCGCCGCTCACCATTATGCAGTGAGTTGCGACGACGTCCCTTGAACCTGTCGAGGTAATGTATTGACCTCCAACTAGGTATGTCGTCGCTACCACTACGATCTGGAGCGGGGCAAGTTACATCTATACCAAGGACGCAGTCAAAATTCTGTCCGCGCCCAGGAAGCCAACGACCAAGGTTTAAGCACCAGGAGCTCATCTTGCAGCGCCTCTCACAACGCATCAACTCGTTGCAAACTTGTTCGGCTTCACTCGATGAGGCCACCTGCCTGTTCAGGAGGTATCCGCAACCGTGTAACATTAGATACTGGCCCGTGAAAGTCAGCATACACATGTGTTTCACGCATCATCCAACGGCGTTTGGGCGTGGCGGATTTTGTAAAAAGAAGAATGGCGGGGTGGGTGTACAATATCGTTATGTGAAGAGGGTGGTCATCACCCCGAAAATCCTTTCCAACGGTGTACAAGCCCATGAGATTCGGGGCTGCTGTTCATTATCGTACAACTAGCATCGCGTATCATGGCAGCCGAGAGGCGCCGTCGGTGCTTTCCTCCTGAATCTTTGACCTCCAGAGCACTGCTTTCTCCGCCGACTTTGCTGCGCGATAACTGCGGTTCTGACTCTTGATGTGTGCGAGCAAGCGGAGGCACCCCGATGGAGTTATACCTTCCAACCTCCTCGCTTGAGCCAGCGTCTCGGGTCTGGTGGCATTGAGAACGGTCTTTTCGGCCATGGCTAGACCTGGGACCTCGTCGTAGTTCATCGAGCGTGGCAGCATGATTTTCTCGTCCCGGGCGAAAACCTGGCGCTGGGCGAGAGATCTCTGGATGAAGGGCGCGTACGTTGCCTCGGTGTGGACTCTGGACTTGATGCGTTCAGGGTAGCCGTCGGCGCCAGGTATCATGGCGGCAACCTGATCCATGGTCACGTTGCGCAGTCGAAGCATGTCCGTAGCATCGCGGCGCTCCGACAGGTTGCTGAAAGAAAAGCCCGCACTGATCCATTCGGCTGGGGCCTTGGATGTCGCCATGAGGAGCGCCATCAGCTCGTCTATTTGTCGCTTCTCGTCGCAGAAGACGCTCCAGCGCTTGTTTGTCACGACTCCCCATCCTCGCCCTTGTTCCGTCAACCGTAGGTCGGCGTTGTCAGCTCTTGACGTCAACCTGTATTCGCTTCTGGTTGTGAACATTCTGTATGGCTCCGTGACGCCTTTGGTGATGAGGTCGTCGATCATTACGCCGATGTAGCCGTCCGCTCTGGCGATAGAGGCGGGCGAGAGACCCTGAGCGGCTCGGCCGGCATTGATGCCTGCCACGATCCCCTGGCCAGCAGCCTCCTCGTAACCTGTGGTGCCGTTGATCTGGCCTGCCAGGTATAGGCCGCTGATGTTCTTCGTTTCCAATGTCGACTTCAAGCTTCGCGGGTCGATGTAGTCGTACTCGACGCCGTAACCCGGCTGTGTCATTACAGACCGCTCCAGGCCTCGGATGGAACGCAGAATCTGCTCCTGAGCTTCGGGAGGAACGGTCATGGATAAGCCGTTGGGGTATATTACATCGCTGTCGAAGCCTTCTGGTTCCAGCCAGACAATGTGTCTATCCTTGTCGGAGAACCGGACGATTTTGGCCTCCAATGACGGGCAATACCTTGGGCCCTTGATCGTTTCTCGAATGTGGATAGTCTTGTCCAAGTTGTCTCGGACGATTCCATGTGTTGTCTCGTTGGTATGTGTTATATGACATAGCATCTGGTCTTCTACGGCGACCCGGTCGTTCATAAAGCTGAATGGCAGCGGCGGGTCGTCTCCAGGTTGTTGTTCCAACATGGAGTAGTCGATACTGTCCTTCGCTATGCGCGGCGGCGTGCCCGTCTTGAGTCTTCCGAGGCTAAAGCCGGCGTCTTTCAGGGACTTGCTCAGTCCGAATGAAGCGTCCTCGCCTATGCGCCCCGCCGGGTAACATTTCATGCCAATGTGGATCTCGCCACTGAGAAACGTGCCGGTCGTGATAATGACTTGGGTTGTAGGAAGGATCTCGCCGGACTCAAGGCGCACGCCGGTGATTCTGCTCGGCGCAGGGTCCGTTGTGTCGGTGTTGGCATCCGTAACAATGTCGGATACGCTGCCTAGAACAATGGACAGATTCGGATACGTTTCGAGCTCCTCCCTCATGTGCTTCTGGTAGAGTTTTCGATCGATTTGCGCGCGGGGGCCCTGGATGCACCAAGTCAGGCGCTGCTTATTGTTGGGGGCTGGCAAAACGAGAGATGGAAGTCCTCACCCATACTGCCCGACCCTTGGGCCGATTGAGGACCTTGAACTGGACGCCGGCCTTGTCGATGATCCTGCCAGCCACTCCATCAAGGGCATCGATCTCACGTAGTATGATGCCTTTGCCAACGCCGCCAAAGGAGGGATTGCAGGAACAAGTGCCGAGGTTTTCGATCTTGGGGGTTACCAGCGCGGTTCTCGCACCGGCTCTCGCGGCGGCGGCACACGCCTCTGCACCGGCATGACCACCTCCTACTACGACGACATCAAAGGGCCTGTGAGGCTTGTCAGAGACATGTGGATGGCGTGTAGATGGCGTCTAGGGAATTTGTGGTTGACAAACCTTGAGCCTTCGGCGACGGCCGCGAGCCACCGTGTACCAAGAGGCCGAGATGGGTAGATCCCTCGAAAGCCTCGGTCGCCATGGTTGCGCGGTCGCAGCTTTAGAGCTGTAGCGAGAGATCTCATCTTCTCCCCAACGCAACGCCGGAGGATAGTCGAAACGGTTCTACGAATAGCCAAGTTTCATTGAAAGTTTTGTCCCACGACTATCGACTGGTGGCGATCGCAACAAATGGCAGATGGAGCTCGGCTCCAAAATCCCCATGCGACAGCTGCGCCCGCTGCGCCGTCCTCTTTTTTTTTTCTGGGGCTTTCCCCCTGTGAGACACGTACAGTGCGACACAGTCAAGGCTGCTTGGTCGGCAATCGGTATTCTAGGCACCGACCAAAGAGGAACTTTGACGTAAATGGAAACCACATTTGTTCGTTGATGTCTTCCTTTATTTCCATTTCCTGGTCCTACAACATCTAAAAAAAAATTCCCTCCCTGGCCCAAGTACACACAATAGTTCTAATAATGAATCAGGACGTCTACGTACCCATCACAGCCGCCGGGTTTCGACATCAGTGGCATAATGTTGAAAGTAGGTATTGTTCATAAATAACAGTCATTAGAAGGATACACGCTTTCTCCGCTGACCTTCAGCTTCCCACGTCGTCCAGCTTTGCCCAACTGTCTGTGCCCTATCGCCTGGCGGCCGGCTTCGGGGCATCAGGCCATGATGAGACAACATCTTCAACCTCCTCGAGATATGTTGCTGCGTTATGGATGGTTGTGCCGCCGAGAACCAAACGAACACCGGGTGTGCTGGCATTGATCGTCGCGATCATCTTCGCCTCCTCATACGTGGCACCTCCGACCATAAAAACAACTATGTCTTGCGGTTTGTCCCGAGTAGTCCCGCCGTTCTCTACAAAAGGGTATTGCTGTTCCTTAAGTCGACCCCGAATCAGATTTTGCAGAGTGCTCTCCAGCAGAGGACTGTGCTGGGTGTAGACATTTTCCACGCCTTTGAGCCCCTTGAAGCGGTTGCCGGCGGCTCCGAAGATTCCTGCGGATTCGAAGATGTCTGTAATGCCTGTTTGGGCTTGAGACTGTTGCAGAGACGATTGGTATGTCACCAGTTTAGAGACAAGATCTGCTCGACGCACAGAAACGCCGCCGGCAGCCACCAGGAGGTCGATAAGCGTGGGAAGAGAGTTAGAAGGGTTGCGCTCGTAACGCAAAGCATACAAGGCGACGAGGGCCACTTTGCTGTCGGTCGTCACGCTGGGAGACTGTATGAGTTTTTGAATGTTCTACGCCAAGTCAGTTCCACGGTGTTAGAACCAATGTCAAATGCGGCTTACCTTGACGTCGGCTGCGTGGTTGTCTTGGCATGCCAAACTTTGTTCAAGCTCACTGACTTCGAGAAGATTTTCTGCGCCGACTCGCCTGCTCAGCTCCGAGACCAAGGTGACGTGCTTACTGACGTTTCCAGAGAGCTTGCGAAACTCCGGGTATTCCTCGATGAAGCGCTTCATATCCGTGATGGACTCGATGTTTGCGTTATTCTGAGTTTTGGACTGATACTGTTCCACATAATCTTTGATGTTTCCGCCTAGGTCGCCAAAGTTGAGATACATGTTCTTCTTGAAGAAAGGATCTTGGTCTTGCGATAAGACAATCTCCTTGAGCTCAGGTCGGATATCGGGAACGTCGCTGAGATCAACTCTGCCGTTGTTGATGCCGAGAAGATGATGTACCATGGCTTGATATGTCCACTGGGTGAGCAGCGGCGTCACCGGATCCTCGCGACGGTCAAGAATCAGCAGGATGGGAGGTGTGTCCACCTTTCTGAAGTCAAACAGCTGCTCTTCCTGGGTAATGCGATATCGCACTTCTGTCGCCAGCTTCCTAGTGAGGGGGCTGTTTCTGGCGTATCTGATCAGAGGCTTCTTCTTCAGTGCCAAAAGCACAGCGACTAGCCCGTCCGCACTTCTCTGAAGAGCGTCGGGGTTCCAAGTGTCTGGACCACCGCCCCAAACGCGTTGGTGAGGCAGGCTGAGCCCAAGCGAGAAGAGGTCTGGATTAACGACGATGAAATCGGCAAAGTGCTCTTGAACCACCTTGACTACCTCGTGGTCGTCTGCCTCGGCCAATCTCTCGAGAGAGGACTTCTTCACGACGTTGGTGAAGTACAAATGATACTCGCCGTACTTGGGCTCCCGTAGTTCATCGATGAGCAATTGAATTGAGTCTGGTGACGGCCGTAGAAGACATAAGCATCGGAGATGACGCATCTTTTCTCTGTTGGCATTATCGATGCGGTCGATGAGATAGACTTCGTGGTTGAGAAGAGCGGACTGTGTGATGGCGGTGGACACGATTGGGACTGTTTCCCGGTCCAGTAGCAGAACCTTCATCTTAGCCGACTGTCCCGACGACAGAGAGTCGCCGGAAGAGATCATGCGAGATACATAACCGGCCACCGCCTGAGCCACGTCCATTTCGGCCACCGAAGGTGATGGATCGGCTGGATGTGTCGGGAGTGTCTTGTTTCGTCACTGCCGGTGGTGTTGGCAGGCCGATGGAGCTGCAGTCCTTGATCAATCAATCAAGACAGCAGGAGGAAGACGAGGTGGTGACGTTCGATGTTGTGGCCGAAAGATTGATCGGTGAATCGAACTGTGGTAGGTGTGTTGTTGAATGTCGTCCAGCTCCGTGGCGCATTACTCTTTGCATGCCAGGTATGCAACAGACCGAAGTTCAGGAGCTTATGTGGGTACCTACACCTAAGGTACCTTACCTTACTCAAGGCAGGTGTCGCTCAGCAAGCCAACTTGCCGACACAGTAGCTGCGTACGGTGCGTAAAACCAAGGTCCCGCATTCATCAATTTAAGCCCGGAAAGCGCACCTCATGTGTGACGTCTGAGGCAACCCCACAGTGCCAATCCGTCATTCTCAACCTAGGAGATTCATGCAAATGCAAGCAGGCAATCCAAACCTTCGAACTGTTACAAAAACAACAACAACGGCACCAGCAACAGCATCGGTTCATTTTGGCATCGAGACCAACATGGGAATGTTATAGCCGCGGAAACTCATCTAGGGTTCGCATATTCTTCACAGCATCAAGAACTGCCTCTTGAGAAATCATACCGAGACGCCCACGCCCGATCCACCCATCTTTCCACCGTCAAGAGCATGGCGAGTCTATCTCCAGATACTTGCCCTGTGAAGGCCGAGCCCACGTATGTTTGCGAAGTGCGCCATAAGGACGATACGAATTCCCAATGTCTGACCGCTTTTTAGCCTCTCCTTTACCCAGGGTTTGATCCTCGGCCAGTTGTCGGTGGTCCTGGTGCTCGCTGCTTTCATCAAATTCTTCATTTTTGGAGATCCCCCGTCGCCCGAAGTAACAGCCTCGCTGAGAGCAACGGAACGTCGCTCGAGGACACTTGCTCACAAGCGTTCACTCCTGAGTCTGCGGACAGCCAGTGCTCGCCAGGGCCAGCAAACCCTCAACCGCAAAAAGTCCAGTGTGCTCCGCAATCCTCCCAACTTGACTATCGGCTCCATCTTGAGCAAAACCTACTACAACGTCGACAGCCACCAGCCGGAAAGCTTGGATTGGTTCAACGTTCTCATAGCCCAGACTATCGCCCAGCTGCGCAGCGACGCCCAGCATGACGACGCCATCCTTACCTCCCTCACCAAGGCGCTCAACGGAACCTCCCGGCCAGACTTCCTTGACGAGATTCGCGTAACAGAGCTGAGTCTCGGGGAAGACTTCCCCATATTCAGTAACTGTCGTATCATTCCGGTAGACGAGGATGGTTTGAGCCTTGGTAGTGGCAGAACGCTTGATGCTAGTGCCGCCACGAGGGAGGGAGCAAAACTGCAAGCCCGGATGGATGTCGACCTCAGCGATATGCTAACAATGGCAATAGAGACGAAACTTCTTCTCAACTACCCTAAGAAGCTTAGCGCAGTACTTCCTGTTGCCCTCTCTGTCTCCGTGGTCAGATTTAGCGGCACTCTATCGATATCCTTCATCCCAAGCAACCCATCACAATCAACCCCCACCATGATGACATTCAACTTTTTGGACGACTACCGCCTCGATTTGTCCATTCGAAGTCTGTTGGGCAGTCGTTCGAGATTGCAAGACGTGCCAAAGATCGCCCAGCTGATCGAGGCGCGCCTTCATCGCTGGTTTGACGAGCGGTGCGTAGAACCCCGGTTCCAGGAAATCGCATTACCGAGCTTCTGGCCGCGGAAGAAGAACACTAGGGGACCCGAAGATGGCCTGGCAGAGACGAACACATCTGTGGGCCGAGCGAAGGGCAAGGAAATCGGCCAGGATCTACGGGCAGAGGCCCGACGGGAGGTGGAGGCCGAGGCAGGGACGCGAACAGGAAGGGAGCAGGATTCGCTGCGCCGCCGAAGACTCCGAAGCGAGGACGACTTCTCAATGCCTGGCTCAATGCCCGGTCTGGACATGGACATGAGGACATGATGTATTCCGCGTTTTATCTTTCAGGGGAAATTTAAAAGCGACCTGGCACAAGTGTTGCCGAGGTATGTGTCATGGGCAGGAGACATTTCCACCAAGAGATGGCCCCCGCAAACAAAAGTACATAATAAACAATCGTCCAATGTCGACCATTCGCCGGCGTGTAAGGCCCCCGAGCATGCCAGTACGGATCGACGGACCCCCAAAACCGAGGCAGGCCCATGGCGTTGCAGAAGGCGTGAACCAAGGCGATGGCCAGCAGACTGCCCGATCGAAGGAACAAGAAGGTGGCGTAACCGCCAAATAGAGAGGTGTAGGTAAACTGGAGTACCGACCGAGCAATGGCAGCGACGAGAGGCACTCTGGGATGGGTAAGGCGGAACTCGTAGAAATGGTGCACGTGAGCAAGACCAAAGATGAGGGGAGACAGAAAGATGGTCTGGGTCAGCGACATGCGCGCGCACAAGAGCAGCGGGACTGAGGCGGACCTGAACAACATCTCCTCGGTCAGAGGTCCCTTATGCCCAAGTTAGCCTAGTACCCAAAGCAAAGAGCGAGCCAGAAAACGGGTAGCAAACCATGACAATGTTTCTCCAAGTCGTCCAGTGCGTCCATATGCTGAGGAGAGGCTCGAAAGTCTTCCAGGTTTCCCAAAGACCATCTATGAGAAGAGTTTCATAGAGCGGACCAGCGAACAGGACGGCGGTAAGAAGCAGGCACGAGGCTGAGTCGACAAGCCCAATGGGCCAGTAGCCCATGGCATGAAGGGGAGTGATGGGCAGAGCGCCATCGGGTAGCCGAGCCAGAACGATATACGTCAAGGCCGAACACACTGCGGTAGAGGAGAGAACCGAAGTGATGCGGGCGCGGATGACGCGGGGGTCATCCCTTGAGAGGGTTGGCGACGGACGGCTTGATGGTGAGATGTACAGAGGCAGGACATAGATGATGGTGTACATAATCTACAATCAGAGTAAGCACATGAGTCGAGATGACCAGGAAGCTGCACAGTTTTCGAGACACATACCAGCATGGCGCTGACGGTAGACGGCTGTAGGGAGGGAGGATCCGTGTCGGAAGGGTCAACGCCGGGACCGAAGCCAAAGCCGCCGGTGGAAGACATAGGAGCGGCCGGCCAAAGCCTACTTAGCCGGAGAAGATGGTGGGAAAGAACGGGACGAGAATGTCGGGAATGTCACACTTGGGGAAGGGACAAGATTCGCGCATGGACGAAGCCCTAGACGGACTACCTCAAGAAAGCGGCACGGACTGAGGTGGCTACCCGCCCCGGGCAGATAACGGGTCGAGACGGGAGGTGCCCATGGCAGTTGATGTCGGATGATTACATAATAAATACATAAGCCACAATATGAGTAAAAAGGGGTAGCCATCCAGATGTACCTTACGTACTTGAGACAAGATATCTGAGTTGTAGGACGCTGGATTCCCGTCCCGTCTTCAGCGGCTAGAGCCATCCGTACACCTAAGGTACGCAGGCAAGGCGGGGTAGGTATCACCCCATAGCCTCGTTCGTCTGCGGTCTCAGTGGCGTGGCGCGCGTTTCGCTGCTCACGCCCGAAGCGCCGACGCAGCAGTACAGGTGCTGATACTGAGTGTAGAAGCTCATTCCGCGTCGACGCCGAGCGACAGTTTTAGATGTCGTACACTACATTTCGAGACACGGTGGTCACATCTCACCACCTTAGATGCGCTTCAGGTCTGCGGTCACGGCCGGCGGCTAGTTCAATGCGTGTACAGAACGGGTAGGTGCATCTGCCGCGGATGTCTACACGTTGGAGAGTAGACGCCGGTTGAAGTAAGACCGGTCGTCCCATATCTGTGTCAAGTTAACGCTTCGGAGAATAGAAAAGTGAAGCGAGTGGAGGCTCTTGCCGCCCGTTATTGGACTTGCGATCTGGTATAGGGCCTCATCGCTCGACTCTAAGCTTCACGTGTGGCACTGCCTCAACTCATGATGAGACTGAGAGGATGAGACCGCGCGACGGTGTCAGACCTCAATGCATGCCCCATGGTCGCAGGTGCGATTTCACGTTGGCGGTGCCGAAAGACCAAGCCGGAGGAGGGCGCGAAAGAGCCACGAAAGATCGCGTCTCGGGGCACCCATCATCTATCCATCCTAAGGTAGACAGACCCCCAAGAGCTGGCAGGCTACCTTGGGCTACCTACAATATGAGTCTGTTACAGCCAATAAAGGAGACGGGAAGTCGATTCGTCATTTCCAGGCCTCTTACTGCACGACCTTAGACTGACTACCTACCTTAATTACCACGTCACGAATAACCTACCTCAGCTAAGCAGGCAGTAGCAAGCAGGAGCAGGCTGCATTGTATTCGCAGACACCGTGACTTTACGAAATTGCTCGCTCTCGTAAGAATCTTGTGTCTTCAGTTACCTTGCAACTTGGCGTGAAATGAATGCGCCCGTACCGACAGACCCGAAATCCGCACCGGGCGGGGCTGGGCGGGTAGTTTCCATTGAGATTGAAATGGCCAGGGTCCAGTGTCGTGGGCAGCACGACGCACGAACCTCGGCCGTCTCCAGCAACATCACAAGGCCGGATACAGGTAAACAATGGCGGTCGGACTCAATTCGAGTTCACCATCGAGGGGGCCGCAGCTCGGATGTGGCCGGCGGCCAACTTGAAGCTGGCGGGTGTTTGAGTCGACCCGTATCATCACGGGCAACGGTCGACTGAGCACCGAGAAAAGATGTAGGAAGCTGGCGCCGCTGGGTCTCGTTACTCGTACCTACAGTCACGGTTTGTTTAGTGTAAGGTACTCGAGCGACATTGTCGACGTTTTGTCGACAAGTCACCCTGGCCCGCCTGAGTGGGAAAAAGCGGTGTCCGTGTGTTGTCTGTCTCCGCAACTCATCAAATGTTCCTCGCCAGCGCCACTCTGTAATGTTTGTGATGAGAAACATATTGCGGGTACAGTGGAGAGAACCTTGGGTGAGCTACCTAAGGTAAGGTAATGAAGAGAAGGACAAGGTGAGGTCGTCCACCAAAGGATTAGGGTAAGACCCAGCGAGAGTTGCAGCAGTCCTCAAGCCCGACGTGCCATTGATATAATATTGGCGCCTTCAACTTCGACCTGCAGGCTCATACATACCCATGTGGCGAAAGCACGCCGTATCCGGACGCAGTACTCCGTACGGACACATGCGATGAACAGCCTAGGTACGAATCTGGGTTGGACCCTGCGCGCGTCATCTCGTTAAGACGGCGACATGAGCTTCTTTTGCTGAGGATCAGGTACGTATTAGTATTCGTACTGCAGACATTGTCCGTACACCGTATCCGCTGGAACTCCGTCTCATTAACAGATTACCAGGAAGGCTTACCTAAGTCGCCCTCCAAGCCGGTTCCTTGCCAGCAGCATGAGGTCTTTGGCTGTTGTTGTTGTTCTCTCATCGACCTGGGGATGCCAATAGCGGGTCAGCTAGGACTAAGGTACCTAGGTAGGTAGGTACCTGAATGCAAACCTGGAACTCAAGAAGGCACATACATACCTTAATCTGTAGAGAGACCGGGAATCGAGAAAAGGGAAAGATTGCCCGTATCACAACTGTAGACCACGACTGTTGTATGCGAGAAGCTGTGAGATGTGAAGCAGTAATCCATTTTTAACACAGCATCCATCCGTACGTACCCAAGGTAATTACCTAGAACCCTTTTTCCATGGTATTATTAGCCCCCCAAGATATTTACAGGTCAGCAACAACGTCAGCAGCAGAAACAACAACAACGGCGCGGTTCACCGTTTAGCACTCGGTTCCATTCTTTTCCACGCTACTTCTAGCGTCGAAGGCCATGGAGGCGCGCTAGACTTCCGACTTGTAGGTCCCGTCACCATAGGTAGGTAGGTTAGGTAGGCACTCTTAGGTTATTAGTGTTCCTGTCCGATGTTGAATCCCGCCCGTCCCCCACAACCACGGGCAACCACCAACCACCATCACCATCACCACCGAGAACACTGCAACCATTAACCATGACAGGGTCAAAGACCAGGTCTCCCAGACTTACCCACGGCCTGGGTGGCCCTTGATCAATGCCTTTGTTTTTGTTGTTTTGCTCTGCGTCTCACGACGGGAGTCCACGTCCATAGCCAAATAGCCGCTTCGACGATACGGTGCGCTACTCTCATGTCCCTCTTAATCTGTCAAATACGACCAGACCCCATCGCCGTCTTGCACCGCGTCGCTTTCCTTCGCTTTCCCTTTTTTTTTTTTTTTTTTTCGGCCTTGTCCCCCCCCTCCGCATTCCTCGTTTTCGATTCCCTCTGCAACGACAACGGGAACGGGAGCCGGGACGCAGGGCCTGGACAGCAGGATATCGTTCACGACTTTACGACCGCGACGAATTTCTACGACCTACCTTACCCTAATTGCGATCGCAATACCTCGCCTCATACTATCCCGCTTCAACGGTTGGATAGTACCTTATACGTGGACACCATTCGAGTCAACACCCCTTATTCTTCTCCGTCTTCGACGACTAGTCTCGAATCGAATCGACGTATCCGTACCTATCATACCAGACAGTGTTTGATCTGGTTTCCGGTCGGCTCATTACCACTGGTACTGGTACCATACATACATGGTACACCACTAGCAAGCACGGTATCGCCCGCCCACCCCGGCCGCTGCATCTGCAACAGAGAAGCATCGCATCGCCGCGCCTCATCGCACCGCCCCCCGCGCATTGCTGATTGGCAATTGCGTTGCTTCTGTCCTGCCGTCGTTGTCGGTTTGGTCGTCTTTTCGACTCGCTAGCCTGAGCCTGGGTGTCTGGCGCCAGGTTTGGATCTGGTCTGGTTCGCCAGGCCCCTTGTCGTCTGCAACCCCGGTCTGGCTCTTGCAGGCCTAGGAAGCAGAGATAGGGAGTGTCGGAATTGCTAGGCCAGTTAGATTTCTTCATCATCCTCAACCCTGGCTTGGACTGCTTCTCGACCGCCTTTTCCACAACAGAACCTTGACTTTTCCTTTGGATAGGTACGAAGCATACCTACCTACCCGCGACGTGACGGTACCTGGATTTTGGGCACTGATGCAATGCAGTGAGTGGCAGTGGTGGCCTCGTCCTGTCAGGAGTCGGACCTGCATACGCCCACGGCCACGGCCAGGAGTCGTCTCCGTATTGGTATTGGCCTCCAGTCGTTGATGAAAATCGATTAAATCAGTCCATCAATCAGAGACCTCATCAGGCACGCACACACGGAAGAGGAAGAAGAAGAAGAAGAAGAGGGAGAGGGAGACCAACATCAAGAACAAAAACCTCAATCCAGCACCGGCTACAGCACTATTACCAAGAATACGGATACATACCCGGGTCTCCTTGAAGACGGAGGAGACGTTATCCCCCCCCTGCTTGCTCTCTCGCTTCCTGGTTCGCTTCCAAGTTCTTTGCGGGCCTGCTCTCATCACTTCGCCCACTGCGAGGTACCTGAACGTCAAAAGGTACGTACGAATCACAGAACTGCTACATGCTGAAGTTGTGTGTGTGTGTGTGCTGGTCTCTCGTCTCCATTTACCTACCACTCCCTGCCCGCATCCATCTTTCGCCCTTTTCTCTTCTGATTTTTCTCCCCTTCCCTTCCCTCTCTCTTCCCTTCCGGCTTTTGCCTGTCCCTTACAGAGCTGCCTCACTCGACGGCCCTTTTCTTTTCTTTTCTTTCTTTGTTTCTTGTCTGGTTTTTACTGCTTTGTTTGACCCAGGCCGATTTGTCTGTAATAATATTCCTACTCTCATTTTCCAATCTATGCGGCAACGATCTATATATCGATTTTAGTATTGGACGCCTCGGCTCACCTCAGTCTCTCACTCTCTCAGTCGGCTCCCGTCTTGCCGCCATCGATCCAGAAACCACAACACACTCGCAAAGACTCACGGCATAATTGCCATTACGCTCACTCCTTTGCGCTCATCGCATTACCCGTCCGATCACGACCACGCCTTAATCAAACACCTATCCTCGTCCGTTGGAAGCCCACGTTTCAGCCAACCCATTCTCTTTGGATACAGATAACGACAAAAATATTCTCACCATTTGTCTCGAACCCGGCTCCCGCCCAACTTGACCAACCCCGACCCCGAATCTGGCCCAAACCCTTGCAGATTGCCACGAGCTGCATCTACTCGGACAAACCCTCTGCCACGACATCGACAGCGCAGTCAACGTGATCCTGTACCGTATGAGGCCTAAGTCAGCCCGGTAGAGCACAGACCGGCCCGGCGCCTACCGCCAACAAGATCCGGTCCCGAGCTGCTCCCGGCGAGTCAGCCACCCCGTGCCCGTGCAGCTTCTCGCCGCTTTTGTTTTCGGCCTTGGCCACCTCCGTCCGGCACTCCATGGCCCGGAGCCCCCGCAGAAGCCGATTCAACCTGACTCGACACGAGAAACCGCCGCCACACTCGACCGGTAGTCGCCTCGCCTCCGGAATCCCCGCGTCCCCGCATCGTCTGGCTGAACATGTCCGGGTCCGGGAGCCCCTCACGGGGGAGCCCCTCCCGGTCCCAACGGAGGCCGCTACACGAGCGCTCCAAGTCACAGTCCAACTCCCTCGCCATTCGCGTTGTGCCATACAGCCCTCCTCGGCCGAGTCACAAGAACCGAGATTCGACCGCCTCGGCCGCCTCATCACGCACTCCCACATCCACCACCGCTCTTCTCTCACCCAACCCATCCGAACTTGGGGCTCACGCTAGTTCTTCGAGGGCCGACGACCGGTCCGCCTCAGCCAGCCGCGCCAGCGATCGCTACTCTCATCGACGCTCCTATTCCTCTAGTACCCTAACGTCGGCGCTGTCATCAGCCTCGTCGACGTTCCCATTGGTTGCTGCCAAGGACCGTGGTGTTTCAGGCTCGAAACTGCGATCCGACTCATCGACCGGAGGCCCGTCTTCCCCCTCTACCCCTGTCCCAACCACTCCACCCCATCAGACTGATAATTCCCGCGTTAATGCGCGATCCCAGTCTTCCCAATACCAAGAAGACGATGAACCTGTCACACCTTCCGCGAAGCGCCCCTTGTCTCGCCGCCGCAATCTCATCACCATCAACGCGGACGGCAAGACCTTTTCTCTTCTGCCCCTTAAAGGACAGCAGAACAGACAATCCGCTGGCCAGGGCTCCTCCAGGGCGCCTACTCTGTCCCTCTCCACCACGCCCTCGCAAGAGCGCTTTTCCACGGACGACTCCCACTTCAGCGAAAACCGTCCCAGCTCTACCGTGACTCCGGACCGAAGCTTTTCAGCTACGCTAACCCCGGCATCCTCGACCACGCAATTACCTGCCGATCATATTACCAACACCGCCGCCTCCAATTCGTCCCCCTGGAATTATCGCATGGTCGGTGGCCTACGCAAGGTTCCCAATACTCCCGATCTCAAGCAAAAGGGAAAGGCCTCTCTCCTTGACCCTGAACCCGACCCAACCCCATCACATCCGTCGTCCCCGTCTGATTCTCGACTCGCGCCGCTGCCCGAGGCGCCAGCCGCAGACCCATCTTCCTCCTCGGGACCCCGTGACCTGCAGCCCAAGACGTCCTTTCAATCGTCTGTCACTGCATCTACCTCATCAGACAAGACAAATTACAAAATCTACAGTTCCAGCTCCCCCCCTCGGGCCGACACAGAGAGCGTGCTACCGCCGCCGTCAATATCTTCCGAAACCTCCAACTACAAGATTTACAGTTCCAGTTCTCCTCCCCCCATCCCTGAGAGAGACAGCTCCTTGCCGCCGCCCGCGTCGAGCCACTCCAACTACGACATTCTCGGTCGATCATCCCCCCCAGAGACGTCCTCGGCTGAGCGCAGCCCCCCAAAAACAGCAGACAGCAGCACAGGCAGCAACCAAAACTACGTCCTGTACGGCGAGTCTTCTCCCGCGCCTTCCTCCGTTACTACCGCTCGTCGCGTTCGCTCCGAGTACTCGCAAGAAAGTCTGTTGGTGGCACCGTTGAAGCCACAGAAGGCCAAGAAGAAGTCGGTTGGGAGATTTGGATATTACAAGTCCCGGTCCAGAGACTCTCTCCGACGCGTCGCCTCGATTAAATCGATATCCAGCACTAAGAGCATCGAAGCTGCCCAGAATATCATTGCTGCCCCTGTCGCCTTTTATCGAACGCGTGCTCTGGCTGGCTCATCCGGACGGCAGCCGGAGGCAACTGCTGAGCCAACCGTCACCGCACCCGTCGTATCCCACATGCAAGCTCACCCGCATCAATGGAGCTCCCAACTGTCCACGGTCATGTCGGAGAGTGAGGGCGGAAGCGAGCCGCCGTCGCGCTCCGTCTCTCCCTGGTCCGTCCCGGCAAGACGCGGCAGCCAGCCTCTAAGCAGTCACAGCCGGCAGATGCTCAGCATCTCCTCGTCGCTTGCCGGTAACGAAGAACGGTCGCTCTCCCACTCGCGATCTTTCACGGACTCTCTTGAGCGCCCTCAACCCACTCATAGTCGCGGAGGTACTCTTCGTCTGGTCAGCGACCAAGATGAGCATGGTGATGGGCTAACCGAGCTTCACCAACTCAACCAACGCCCCTCGCGGACCCGCCTTTCGAGTTTCTTCTCCAATACGTCGTCGGACCGTAATTTGCATTCTTCCGGCAGCTCGCGGGCGAACAGCTTCAACTCGGCATCGCTCCCGACTTGGGCCAAGTAAGTCACTTGTAGGGAACCTTTGGGTACCGCGGCTTTTACTAACACAGCCCGTCTAGGTTTTACTACGGGAGCGGCGAAAGAAGATTCCTGGCCAGCTCTTCCGGCTCGATCATGACTGATCCCAACGACAGCCGTCCACCTAGCTCGTACAACAACAGCCGCTCGCCGAGCGCCGAACATCTTCCTCTCGGCATCTACAGCCAACGCCGGCGGCCGAGGGAAGTCAACCCCCTAGGCCCTGGACCAACGTCGGACTCCGCCTCCATGGAAATCAACCAGGTGGCAATGGACAACCACCTGCGGCCCGGCCTACGGAAGAAGACATCGAGCATCTGGTCGCCACATTTGCGCCGCGACCAAAGAGCTGGCCGTTATAGTATCTGGGAGCCTCCTTCCGTGACATGGTCCGCAGAAAACAGCCTTCTCGGCAAACGTAATATGCAGGTCGCTCTTTTTGCTGCCGGCTTCATTCTGCCCTTCGGTCAGACAACCCCGCCACCAAGCTTGTATGTTGCGGCTGCTAACATGACACAGCATGGATGATCGCTGCCTTTCTGCCTCTACCACCTGATCCGCACGCCGAGATGGAAGAGCGCGACCACCGATCGAGCCTCCTTGACGAAGAGAGAGACCTGCCACGCCGCGTGGCAGCGATTGACGAGACACTGTTCCAGAGCGCCCGTTGGTGGCGCGCGCTAAATCGCTACATGTCCGTCATCGGCCTAGTCGTCGTCGGAGCTATCGCCGCCCTGGTTGTCGTCGGTGTAAAGCAGGGATGGGGGCAGATCTCATGAGCGGTGTTCCCTGAATGAACATTGGCTTTCAGCCCGAACTTCAACCTGGGGTTCTCTGACAGCAAACACTCAGCACACCGAAATTTCCGATTACTTTCTCCCATACAACAGCGCTTTAGATTCACGAACTGGCTTTATGTGCCCTGCGACGGCCCAATTTACGATTGTATGACACTCACGACGTTTTCTTGCGGGTCACACGAGTGGCCTTTCCTCGCTACGCCGTCCGGTGGCTCGCAGGACAGTCTTCGTCTCTCCTTCTTGTTTTTTGCCTCCTGGCTGGTGGGGACGCTGCTAGTGCTCCCATCCATTCTTGTATAAAGTATTGTATTCATATATCTGTGGCTAGCTCCCGCGGGCCTTTGACGACACGTTAGATCTCTGTTTCTGTTGGGCGGCGAGGACTGATTGACGATACCCTTCCGGGCCACACTCGGGAGTCAAAAAGTCGGGACTGGTATTGCGCGAATTCGAACCGATCGATCCCGGGTTATGCCTCTATTTTTCTCGGGATATAGACATATCGATATCTAATGGCTTATTTCTAGAGCTACATAGCACGCAATGTCTAATGACTAGCGCCCGAATGGGCCATCTCCAACAACATGCTTTCGTCATACTCATCACATCGCTCAGTACCGAAAGCCTTGAATTGTATACCCGAGTCTGACAGTAAAGGTGGTAAGCCGTCCTGGGGTGGGGGACACACGTGATGATTTGATCATGGGTTCGGCGGGGTCAGGGAAAAGGGGTTCGTTCATGTAGGTAGATATGACGGAGGATGCTCAGGAGCCCGGAAGACGTCATGTAGTCTTCTTCTTTTGTCTGGCCTCCACTTCAGCCTTGATCTCCTCCATAGCCTCGTCGATCTCGCGCTGGGGATCCGCCGAAACACCCAGTACGGGTTCACGGCCCGAGAGGCTGTCTTGGCTTATAGAACGCGTGAGCCTGGCACCAGTCTTGCCTTGGCGCTCTTCCAGCCGCTTCCTCAACATTTGCTTGGCTGGAGAAGCAAAGAATGCTATGGAAAGTGCGGTTCCCACAATGGTGTAGAAGTAGACGCGGCCCCACACGAGAATCGAGCCAGACAGGTCCAAGACGAGAAAAGGGGCCACAACGAAGGACATGCCGAACTGGGTGACCACGAACGACAGCAAGTCGTAGTAGACCTTGTTCGAGGTGGGTGAGCCACTGGCGTCGAGGAAGAACGCACGGAAGTACCGACGATAATCTGCGATGCGTTAGTTGGTATGTTGTTGTGAGAATCTTCTGGTTCCTTTTCTTCTCTTTGCAAACGTACTCTTTGCCACGGTTTGGACGAAGCTGGCGAGAATGAAGCTGAGATAGTAGCCAGGGTAGAATCCGTGCCACAAGGCGCTGGTGCCAAAGGTGATGAGACTTGCGCGGAAGCCAGGCTTCTTTCCGATGGGCGTGACCCGAAGGTAGACATAATTTCTCAGCCAATTGTTGGTATTTATGTTCCAGTTGCCAAGGTAGGCACGGGTATTTTGAGCCGTTTCGACTCCCCATGGGTTGATATTCTGCAGCCTATTCCACGACACCTTGCCGGTGATGGGATCAACGCCGTTGTACCCCAAGCCGGCCAGAATGCAGGCGCCCTCGGTCAAAGACCAAACGCCGTAATACTTGAGACGTGCCGTGAATCCTGTCATGTGAAGAAGCCACACTCTGCGTAAAAAGCCGTGTTCCATGTAGGAAGGGCCCGTCAAGTAGCCGATGGGGTAGTAGCTTCCAAGAAACATGAAAAGACCAATCCACCCCAGGCCACTGGCAGCTTTCCAGGCGGCAGGGGTGCCACTGCGAGGAATCTTTCTCTTCTTGCGCACAGGAGGCTTCTTGGAGGGATCGACCTGGGCGGGAAGGTCGAACATGGTAGTGTCTATCCACTTGCGGTAGTCGGCATAGTCAAAAGCAGGGCCGGCCAAGAGTCCGGGGAAGAAGAGAACATATCCAGCATAGTCTAAGATGCCAGGAATTTCCACAAGTCTCCTTTCCTTTTGAAACTCAGACAGCTGATCCTCAGGGAGCGTACCATCAGCTACGTTCCAGCAGAAAGCGCTGAGCTTCATGAGCAGAACCATCTGCGCACCAGTGATGTCAACGGACGAAGGGCTATCGGCGATTTGACGGGCAATATGGCTTATCGACATGTGGCCCATGACAAAGGCAAATCCGATCCATGGCATGAAGGGACTGGTGCGCAAATACTTGGCGATGCAGTAGACGCCGACCGAGCTGATGGCGAGAGTGCGCACGCCGCCCCATAGGTCGAAGAGTCCGACTAGGTAGAAGGCAGAGGTACTAAGTCGTCGCAGTCAGCGAAAATGATCTGGACGACCGCGCTGCGCCAGAGCAACGAGACGCATACCATATTATGAATAGGTTCTTCAGGTTTGGCCTGCTATCTGGGACTCTCTTGAGCAGACCGGCCAGGGGGTATGATATAAGAAACGACAGGACGAGCTTGACTGCGTGAACGCGGACGTCAGTGGACATGCTGCTCCCAGCGCGGACTGTGCCATGGCGTCGTTCGATTATAGGCAGCATGGGGGTACTGACGTTCGTCTGGAGATGCGCCGAGGCGCGAGGAGAGCAGTTCGAACGCTGTTTGATTGCAGGTGGTTAGCAAAAGAAGTGTGTCGATGGCAGAGCAAGAGATGGAGCAAGCTAAGTGGTGGAAGGGGCTGGGCTGCCTACGCTTGTTGATAAAGGGCAACATGTTGTATGCGAGCGACGAGCTCGATTTTTACAAGCAACAATGAGGCAAGTAAGAGTATGGGCGATGTGCGACGACTGTGATCGACTGGTGCTCAGTCCATTTCTCGCTCCTAATACGCGACGAATGGGCACGACAGGGAAAAGAAGACAGGTACGACGTCGCCTGATCGTCGAGGACGCGTCTCCTGTAAATATCGTGGTGAGGGCGAAAGCGGCCGGTCTTGGGATTGGATCATGTGGCGGCGATTCGGGACGGTACTGCGTAACAGCTGCGAAAAGCTGGGATGAATTTCGAGGAGAGCTAAGGTGACGGCGGGTCGTCCCAACCTGACAGGAAATTGCCGACGTCCAGAGCGAGTTGGGAGGATGGGGCAGGCGCACGTGTGATGGGACGGAATCGGATTCGAGTTGAGTAGGGCAGTGTGATTGTTTTTTTTTTTCCGTGGGGTTCCCGCTGTACGGTACCTTAGGTAGGGATAAACTGACGACCTAAGGTATTTGCTACATACTCAATATCAAGGTTCCTTTATAGAACAAATACATATGCATCTAGCTCTCTGTCCAAAGAAACAACCACCCACTGGGTTTCCAAACCACGCCCCACGTGTCTCGCAAACAAGCAATAAATGACAAATTCAGCCCTAGCCGTTGACGGATAATGGTGCTTTAACTCTGAATTGGATCTGGTTCGCTTTCAATATGTTTGGTGATGCACATGCTTGGGGCCAACCTTACCAGACTACCTACGTCACCTTACAGCATTGAAGGTGAGGCGGAAGGCGAGGCACTAGCAAAGTACTGTAGGCTTACATAATAATATATTGTCACAGGCAACGAGACCCAAGACTCAACCACCCACACGTGTTCTCACCGCCTCATCTTGTTGAACCCAACAGCATGCGTTATTGTCATGACATTAAAAGCATGGCTGCCCTGCATCTACACGAAATAAATGACATACCGTGTGAGGTTCCAACGCCCGCCGCCCGTGTCCACTTCATGCCGCGCCACACCTCTCCCTCTTCCTCATGAAGGTCTATTTCTGAACAGTATAGCAACAAGACACGTACCAGCCCTGTGAGCTCGAGCACGTGCTAGGTCAAGTTTTGAAAAAGGGTCTTACAAAGTGCTCTGCGATTCACTTGCCACTAGTGTCCCAAATCAACGACAAGCTAGCATGCTAGACTTTTTTATTCCACGGTATTGTCATCTCCCTTATGAGTTGGCGTCCTTGTTGCTCTGAGAGCTAGCACTCATGGGTTGTGTTGTCGGCAGAGACATCTTGGAAGCTTCCGTCTGTCGGATTCTCGCCCAAGCGTAGACGATACCACTGACAAATCCGATGATGATGGCAGACACGCTGCCAAAAGTGACCGGTGCGTCAAAGAAGACTAGCCCACTGATGGCGATAGGAAGCTTGTTCAGCGCGCCGACGACCGAGTACGTCGTCGAGGACGTCACGCGAATACACCAAGCCGAACAGTATGAGATGAAGATAGCGCAGAGACCGGAGTAGATCATGCCAATAAAGAGGCTGTTGCGCGACTCAGTGGGAAAATTCTTGGCGACGTTGGCTGAAGACCAGTCCTCGGTCAAGAGCGTGCAGACGATGAGGACTGGGATAGTCAACAGATTATTGTAGAACATAGCTGCGTAAGTTTCTTGTCAGCGGTACCGTTCATAATGCAAATAAATCATCCGCAAGCTTGCTCGTAGCCACTTACTGTCCCAATCCTTGAAGTTCATCTTCTTGATAACTTTGCGCATGCCTAGGACGTAGGCCGCGGTGCAGCAGACGTTCATTCCCATCCAGGCATATCCAGCGTTGAGGGTTGAGACGGCAGCCGAAGCCTCAGCAGTATGCGAGCCACCACCCAAAGCGTGCTGGACATCAGCCCACGCGGCAACAACGGAACTGAGAACCATCAAACCAAACGACAGGAGGGAGAGAGGGGTGACGCTGCCGCCAAACCACAAGACCTCGCCGTATGCAATGACGATGATCGTGAGATTCTTGAAGATAGTGTAGACTGGTACAGAGAGAAATTGAAGGGCCTTGGTACCCGTGTAAATCATGCCAACGAGGAGAATCGCAATGGGAAACCCTGTGCGGAAGTCAGCAGGTGCAGCGTTATGACCTTGTCATGAGGGTTTAAACCAACACTTCTTCGCTTTGTTCGTATCGAAGGGGGCCAAGTTCGTGATCATTCCAAGGTTCTTACACACGAGGATGGTGAGGATACAGACGATTGACTAGACCAATGTCAATTACAGAGGTTCCATCAATCAAAAGGGCGAAGCAAACAACTGGCATACCTGAATGGCTAGGTAGAAGAAGTTCAAGTTCCAGAACTGGCCGGAGACGACGTACTTATTGACGACGGTCATGCTGATGGAGGAAAAACAGTACGCCAGAATGGAAACACCAGGGCTGTTGTCGATCTTGCTCAAAGGCGAGGCCAAGTTGGACCTTGGCCTCGGAGGTGGGCGCTGGGAAAGGAAGCCATCTTTCTCTCCGCCGAACGAGTCGTTCTTGCGGAGTTCATAGTCCTCGTTCTTCTTGTCCGACATGGTCGATATTGAACGAGGTGTCGGGACCGAACTTCTGCTCGAGGATGCAAGTTGGCTTCAACGACACTGGCGCAAGCTTAATGACTGTGGCTTCGGAGAAGACGATTGCGCCGGTTTAGTTCGAAAGGCTGATTGAGACGACGGCTCAGGCGCGTGGATCGGTCAAGGCCAAGGGATGGGATGGAAGAAAATTCAAGCAGTTGAAGTCGTCGGCGGGCCGGTCCTCGTTCACGACGATTGGCAATAGAAGAGCGAGATCTGGCTGTTGGTTGGGACGAAGGTTCGAAGGAAACGGAGTAAAGGGGGCACGTAGATAATCGCGAGCGAAGGCGGACGGGACGGGAACGCAGGGGAATACGCGTGCACCTATCAAGGGTCGTAGATTTTTGTGCCACAAATTACCATAAGGTACCTTCGGTAGATACCTACCTACCTTACCTAGGTACCTAGTATAGTGCACGGTATCGCACCTCTAGAGGTCTCGGTGGTGCAGCGCCCAGGGCGGGCAGTACCTTACCCGGGCTTGGAACACTGGAGTGCGTCAGCTCCTCAAGCAAGGGGTCCCGCAGACCGGGCTAGTACATAGGTTACCTTAGTTGCTTAGGTACATACCTAAAGTACCTAAGTAAGGTAGGTGGTTTGACCCCGATAAATGAATTAGCTGAGTGTTTCTCTCCTTACCGACTACCAAGGACTTGCCACAGTTTAATCTACCCCAGGAATTCTATCACAGAAACCTCCACGTGAGAGACGCTTAAAAGCCCGCCCTTCTTCTTTCGTGATGGACGTATCAAGTGAACACAGCGCTGCACAATCAGCAGCTGAGGGAGCAGCCAGATCGAAATTGCAGCTTCCAGCAAGCTGCGATCCGCCCCAAAGCGATGGAGCGAGGAAGCAGCTGGTATGGGTGGTAAGTCAGAAGTGCTGCCCATCGATCAGAACCTCATCTTCAACTTTGACCCCTTGCAGATCTTCGGTGGGACTGGACACATGGGCAGGTCCCTTGTGAAATCCGCCTTGTCCCATGGGGATTTGGTTACCTCGGTTGGCCGAGTCTTCGAGACGAGTCCTGAAGATATGGCTGCGCAAGATAACGACAGCTGCCTGGGACTCTTATGTGACGTGCGAGCCAGAGACTCGGTTGCGCGCGTGATAGACCGCACCCTGAACCATTTTCAGCGAGTTGATGTTATCGCCAACTGTTCAGGCTACGGTGTGATTGGTGCTTGCGAAGACCAGGACGAGCACGAAATTCGCAACCAATTCGAGACAAACTTCATGGGCACCCTCAACATCATCCAGGCCAGTTTGCCCTACTTTCGCCAACAAAGCGCCGGCCGTTATCTTATTTTCAGCTCTACATCCGGCGCGCTTGGTGTGCCTGGCCTAGGTCCGTACTGTGCCACCAAGTACGCCGTCGAGGGTCTTATAGAGGCCATGCTGTATGAGATAGATTCCTTCAACGTCAAAGCAACCCTGGTCGAACCAGGATTCGTGCGGAGAGATGAGCCGGACACAACGGCGGCACCTTTGCCAACATGGGGTCACTTCCTCATCAAACCAGCGAGCGAAGCCTACGCTCAAGCAACATCGCCGGCTCTCCACGCCAAACGAATGGTCCAATGGCTCGGGGATCGGCAGCCGACGAGCGCCGTCAAGTGTGCTGAACTTGTTTGGCAGTTGGCCCACTGCTCATACCCTCCACTGAGGTTGCTTCTTGGGAGTTACGCCATTGAGAGTATCCGTGACAGACTACGATCCGTGACCGAAGAGCTTGAGGATTGGAAGCACTTGAATTTCCCCATTTCTCCCGAGGCTGGTGTCGATGGTGAAGGGAAGGATAGCAGGCCTGATCAGGATGAGAGCATGGTTGACTCCCAGGACACACAAAGTCAAGTTACGACATGAGAACGTCGAAAAGTCCAGTCACGTTATCGCAGTGACGTTTTGTAGTGCGTGAATGTGCCAAGCAGTCCATCAGGGAATGTAAGGCCGCCGGTGCAAAATCAACCCATCTTTCAGAGGCATGTTTTCCTGCAATGGCACTGGCAGGATGCTCACATGGTTCAACGTCTTCGCTCTGAAATCCCAGCGAGGTCACCAGATCCTTTGCTGTTGGACCCCGCAGAAGCAATCGCGCTGCGTCCTCAGCACATGTTCACACACTACCACGTCAACTGCGGCGCATATTGACAACAAGCTGGGCGGCTCGGGGCATGAGATACTCTCTTGCGAGGCAAGCAGTTGGCTCTCTTTACTGTTGCTGCTACGATACGTGTATACTGTCGCCGTATGCTCTGGTGGGGCTCTAGCAGTTTACGCGATTATGTTCTCACCGTTTTTACATAGTAGTAATAGGACTTGACTCCTTGCTAGGTCTCGATGGAACAGAGTTATGCAAGCAACAGCAGACTGCTGCTATTATTATGACGAGTACAAGGAACATGTCAGGGCAAGGGCTGTACACCAACTTCAGCTCCATAGAAGAACGCCGTCCATAGCGGGCCAACAACAACATCATGGTTGCCGACCAAGCTGTCTAGATGATAGGTAGCCAGAGCATGCGAGTGAGCGTTCTACATTAAGATGTCAGACATCCTCGTAACAGATATGGCATGGGCTCGTCCGGCCAGAACGCGCCGTACTTGGACATAAGTTGTGTAGGCCCTTCATCGTGGCATACCTACTTATCTGATGCCGACCGACCTGAACCCGCTGGACCTTCTCTAATTTTGGCCCCTTACGCAGAAGACCCACTATCTAGGTACTGCTGAACGTAATCTTTCCTGTAAGGGTTCACGTCGAGATCCTCAGTCCTATTCAAGGGCGTCCACTTGGGTTCTTCCTTGAAAAGTCTCATAGCCTTGATGTACTATGTAGTTAATCAGCGATACTTTCGTCGATGCACAAGCCTCCAAGGCACTTACGTTGGACTCGTCGGTGGTGAAACGATGGTAGATGCCAGCGGGAAGGATGATGAGATCGTCCTGTCGATGATCAGCCGTGGACGCGCCACATCGCCGTTGTTCCACACATTCATCGTACCTTCTCCACGCAAATGCGAACCCATTCATCACCTGCGCTCCTCACGTCGAAGTACCCATGCCCGTCGCGAACGTAGCGGATCTCCTCGTCCTCGTGCAGATGTTCGTGGAAGAACGACTTAACCTTTTCTTCATACACGTCGCCCATCGTCTCTGGGGAGACGATGATCTCGTCCCTATTCTTATATCCGCGTTTGGAGGCGAGCTTATTGACACCGTCGAGGTTGGGGATCTGATGGTAGTAGACGCCGAGCTTTTCCAGCTGGTCAACCGTGACCTCCTTGCCTGAGTCGTGAGCTAGGCGCTGGTCGCCCTTCAACACAGTTTGTGGTTAGCGAACGTGTTTCTTCGGGTCGGATAGGATAACTCTAGCAGCAGCGGGAAGGGTCTGCTCTAACGGCTACTTACATCGAGATTATCGTACCAGTAGGCTTTCATCTTGGCGGGGTATTTTTTTGATGGCTCGCAGTGCAAGCTGAAAACGGAGAGAGCTTGAAATTGTCTGCAGCGATAATTATAATGATTAGCTTCAAAAACATCTCAGGGGTAGAAATGCGCTCATACTTAACTCCTGACGAGACGGCTCATGGCTGTGGTGACTTGTCGACAGTAATCGAGGAGACAAATGTGATGACCTGGGGTCAGGCAGTCGGGAACTTTTTCAGGAAATGACGCAATAGGCTCTGCAGGTGGGGTAATCGGTATGTGCGCGCCGCAAGCAGCACCATGGCGTCCAATCTTCAACGGCTCGGTCGTCAGCACGTGGGGTTACCGCCAGGTGGTTCGAATGGAAGTCCCGGGCCTGGTCCCGATACATAATGGTTGTCCGCAGCCGGCCCGTGCGAACTCCCGATGCATTCGCGAGCAGTGAGGAATGAATCCATGACAGATATCGATCAGGGTTGGATTGTTGGGCGGCAACCAAACACACACGTAAGTACACGCACGCACACAAGCATGCCAAGCTGCCAAAATAACCCTTTCAAGGGTGGGGGTCGATTGTTCTATACTAACTGAAATATGCGATGTGCTCCAAGCTAAATTCTATCGTACTTTTGTGCTCCAGAATCCACCCACGACTGGATGCTGTGCTAAGTAATGGATGGATGGAACCACAGTGGCGCGAATAGAAGTGGTGCAGATTCGCAACTCGATGACCCTAACGCCGGAACCATGCCAATGCTGCGAATGCCCTCGTCCTAACCGTTCTCCTTCGCTGAAGTGATGTCTCATCGGACCTCTGGGGCAAGCTCTGGTCCCCCGGCAACAACAATGTCGTTGTTGATGCCATCCGCAGTCTCGTCCATTACCCGTCGTTCGAACAGCCGTCTCCACCAGCTGGGGGGATCAAACGGCCGCGAACCGTTATGCAATGGCGGGTAAACATCAGAGAAGAAGTACCAGATGTGGCCAATGACGACACCCATGATTTCATCCTTGGGAATGGAGCCATGCAGGATCAGGCTGAAGGCCATCAGAACCCACGGAAGGTAAGGGGCAGTGAAAACCAGCAAGCCTAGGAAGCTCAGTCTCGTGTCCGGATTTCTTCGCGACCAAATGTAAACCAGTGTGGATGAAAGGGGATGTCCTAGGAATGGCATTGAGACCAGGGGTGACAAGAGCAGCAGGCTTGTCATGGCGTAGACGAGCAGCCAGGAGAAGTGGGCGGGCGAACGACCCGATGATTCTTCGAGTAGTCGGGCATAGCGTTGTAGGAAGTAGACGTGGAAGAGGAGATCGAGGGAGAAGGGACCGAAGTAGAGGAAGGTAGTCAGCAAACGCCAGTACTACGAGAAACGCAACGAGTGGTTAGCTTCTCGTATCTCCGAGATTGGGCTTTCCAGGGTAGTAGGGTGCTGTTCGGACGAGACTAACCTGTGACTTGGCAAAGACTGCGCGGAAGCTGTAGAACAGCTGGAACGGAGTGACCATTTGGCACTGCACTAAAGCACTTGTGAGGACTGTGGCGGTCGTCCACCATCTCGTGCAGATGGGCATTTCCCAGAACCACGTCTCCAGAGGGAAGCGACCCCCGTCGCCCATCATCTGATCCATGCTGTGCGGTGACTTGCCGGTGTGGTGGTGTGGTGTGCTTCACAGAAGGCAGGTTTGAGATATGAAGTATGTGCGCATTTCCCGGAATCGAGGGTCGGTCGCAAGATGTTGCTCGGTCAGAGGGAGCAGAGCGGGACTCGGATCGGTCTGGTTCGATCGGTCGAACACGATGTGTGTTGGGAGAGAGGTGAGGCTGACAGCTGAGCCTGTGGGTGTGGGTAGGAGAATGAACCAGATGAGTGGGTAGACGACGGTCGTTGCTCGGACAGATAGATTTAATAGATTGAAGTATGATACCGTCAACTGGCGGTTTTCAAACGTGCAGTCCAAGTCCAGCTGAGGTGGGTAAAAGGTGAAGGTAGTTAATGTAAGGTAGCGTGAGGTGGCCTTTGAGAGACCCGTCCATCAGCTCTGCGCCCAGAACGGTCACTGACACCTTCCGTCGCCAATTACCTACTTACCTATAGATACGATGGGTGCGGGTGCGGATGACGGTGCGGGCGGGGCAAGACAATGCTGTACATCGTAGGTAGGTCGGTACCTCAGGTAGGTAGCGCCGTGACCGTTAACGGCGTCGCTTGAAGTTCCGCTGGCTTTTTTGCATTTAACCGTTCATTTTCTCCCATTACTAGGTACCTAAGGTAAGGTATGTTGACTCGATATCCAACCTTGATGTACTATCTTACTTAGATGCATATAGTACCTAGGTACCTAGGTAAGGTACCTAGGTAGGTAAGTAATGGAAGTTGGTAGACCCCACCTGCCTTGGCCGCCGCGCGCCTGGCTTAATTGACTCGCGCGAGAGACACGCGAAAACGCGCTGTCGCATTTCCCCTGATCGCAAACTGGCGAAAAATCGCGGGGCTGGCAATTGCTTGATTACCTGCTGCCGCACGCTCCTGGGCTTCACCTGTCTATCTCCCTGACTTGCAACTTCCTGTCACCTCGCCCAAATCTTTCAACTTGACAAGACTTGTCGCGCTTTTTTACACTCACAACGCGCTCGCCTACTGCTTTCCCTTCGCATTGTATTCCCTTTCCATTGGCCATCAAAGCTCCAATCTGCTATCGGACAACCCTGCCTGACGACGTCGGTTTTTGCTCGACACTCTTTTCACCACCAGCTCCTTACCAGTTCCGACGCCACGGCAACGTGCTTCAGTGCCTGCGCAAATCTCCACGTCAATCATCTATCTGGAAATATGCCTCCCAAGAAAGCCAGGCAGTCTGACGCCAGCCGTCGTAAATCACGACAGAGTGACGTCCAACGTATGCTTTGCCCGGCCCGGCCACCAAGCTGTCTTTCCACCTTGTCCAGTTCACTTACCACCACCAGCTGGCGATCCGATCCCTAACCGCGGAAAGAGACGTTACAGACCCGGGACTGTGGCTCTGAGAGAGATTCGAAAGTACCAAAGTGGCACTGATCTTTTGATGCGTCGACTCCCTTTCTCTCGCCTGGTAGGTTTACTGTGCACTTATAGACAGCACGTATCTAACTGTATGATAGGTTCGCGAGATTGCCGAGTCAGTGAGACCCCGAGGCGAAGCCATGCGCTGGCAGTCGCACGCAATTCAAGCCCTCCAAGAGGCCGCCGAAGCCTTCCTCGTGCATCTGTTCGAAGACACCAACCTGTGCGCTATTCATGCAAAAAGAGTCACCATCATGCAAAAAGACATCCAGCTTGCCAGACGTATCCGCGGTGTGTGGGGAGGCTTGGGCTGAGTGTCGCTCTTTGTTGCGTGCGAGGAACACTCGCTGGCCTTGCATGGCCCTCGAGGACCGGCAGCGCCACGGTCTCTTCATCTTTTCCATCTCACGTTTGCGCGGATACCCAGGGCATTAGAGGGGTTGGCGATGTCGAATTGTTTGATTTTGGCACGGAGTAATCGGCGTTGACGGCGTCGGCATGAAATCCAACTGGCAGAAGCCTATTGGAAGTGAGCATCGAGCAAATGTACTTATTAGGGCTTCTTTCGCATAGCTTATGGGCCAAATGAGGCCTGGAATTGTAATGTTCGAGGGAGGGTGCTCTCTACTGTTTAAGCAGCTTGCAGTTGGGTTGATGCGTGCCCTCCTGTGATTGGATTTGAGTACTCGGTACATTCCCACCAGAAAGTCGGCAACCTTCCATTACCTAAGCGATGTTGAGGTACATGAGAGATGTACCCTACGTCACTGGCCCTGCAAACACCTTCAGCGACTGGCCGACATCCACAGCTCTCAGCTTTGTCACCAACAATAGCCCCCAACCCAACAGACGAGCACAATCTTTCTCAATGAGCCGTCTATTTTCTGCTGGAGTTCCTGGTCGCCGCCTGGTCCTGCCCATCTGCACTGGTGTTGGCGTCACCTATTCACTTCGATGCCAACGCGCGCCCATCTACTTCGACACCTATCACACCCCGAATACTTCGCCAGCCCCTCGTGTGCAAAGCTGTTTTCACAGAGGCCTAACTCCTGAAGCCATGAGACAGCTGTCAAGCGGTAGCATTTCTGGTGCGCAGCTCATCTTGTAACGAAAACAACTTAACCTGCTAATATTGTCAAGGTCTTGGCGTCGGTCTCCTCGTCGGTTTCCTGTCGCATACGCTGGTCTTGCTCTCCGGCCTAGCCATGTTCGCCTTTTACGTACTGACCGGCTCATTCCGTATCCACATTTCACACCTGCTAACGTCGCCATCACAGCTTGCCCGTAGATGTGGCTTAGACTTGCCTCGGCTGCTGGGACTGAGGGAACGACTGAATAAGGCCACGTTGGGCAGGCCTTTTCACAACGCTGTATTTCGACTATCTTTTGCGGCAACTTTCACTCTTGCTGCCTTCGTCCGGTTCTAGAGTCGACGTCCTCACAACGGCTGTGTCTCCCGCGCCAGCCATGCTAGGGTTAGGGCGTCATCCTTGAAGAAGTCCTTCGTCTTTTGGAAGATGTCGGCGTTATGGGCATTGAGCCACTTCTTCTCCTCCTCCGTCAGGAGGCTGGGCTCGAGAAGGTTCTGGCAATACGGAACCATGGTGACGTGCTCAAATCCTAGGTAGGGCTTGTCGCCGAAAGAATGCTTCGTCTTTACCTCCGTAACCATTGCAACGTTTTCAATCCGAATACCGTAGGATCCGTCCTCGTAAAAACCCGGCTCGATCGAAACGACGTTGCCCGGTGCAAGAGCAACCTCGGCAAACTGAACTCTGGTGCCGATCCCGATAGGACCTTCGTGCACGTTAAGGTATGAACCTACGCCGTGTCCAGTTCCGTGGCGGTAGTCCAGGCCCTCCCTCTGCGGGCATGGTGTTAGCGAGAATAGCCACCAACCAAGTTCGCTTGTGACATGGACATACCCATAAGTGTTGGCGGGCTAAGCAATCAAGTGCAAAGCCTGTCGTTCCCTTGGGGAAAATAGCGGTGTCCAAGGCGATGTTGCCCTTCAGTACCAGTGTGTACGCAAGCTTCTCAGCTTCAGTTGGTTGTCCGAAATGGAGAGTTCTTGTCGTGTCCGTGGTGCCGTCAAGGAACTGCGCACCAGAGTCGCATAGGTAGATGGCGTTAGGGTCGATGACGGAGCAAGCGCCTCGCTCAGGCTTGTAATGAATGACAGCGGCACTATGAGAGATTAGAACAGCAGCTCGGGGCTTGAACCGTCAGACGACAACGACAAGCGATGGAGATTGACTCACTTTGCACCAGTTGAAGAGATAGTGTCGAAAGAGAGGCCAACGTAATCCTTGTGCTTTGCGCGGATTTGCTCCAACTTGTCAGCAGCCTGGACTTCGTCCAGGACAACCTTCTTAGCTACCAGCTGGTCTTCCAGCCAGGCAAAATACTCAATCAAAGCGGCACCGTCCCGAATGTGACAGGCTCTCATGCCCGCCATCTCGGTCTTGTTCTTCACAGCCTTGGAGTCTCCAATGGGGCTGCGAACTTCGTCAACCTGGCCCTCGCCGCCAAGGGAACGTTTCAGGGCCCAAGATGCCTTAGTAGAAATGATGAATCTCTTGGAAGAAGAGGCGCCGTCCGACTTGTCCGCAAAAGAACGCAAGGCGTTGATGGCGTCAAAGATGGTCTCATACGGCTTCACAGCAATGTCGCTGTTTGAGAGGTATGACCGAGTCGACTCGCCCAGCTTAGACTCGTCAACATACAGAGTCGCAGAATCGGGGGTAATGATGGCGTAAGAAAAGAAGACAGGGTTGTATGGGATGTCATCGCCGCGCAGGTTGAAGAGCCAAGCGATCTCGTCGAGCATGGATACGACGAAGGCATGGGACTTCTTCTTGTCCAAATCCTGCCTCAGATCATTCAGCTTCGACTTGACATCCCTCCCATTGAAATGATCCGGCAGAACAACAACGGGGTTCTTGGGTCTGTCCGGACGATCGCCAGCCCACACCAGGTCGACCAGGTTCTCGCTAAGGGCTACCAAGTCAGAACCGCCGGATCTCTTGATCTTCTCGGCAAGCTTCTTAGCGATGGAAGCCGTGATAAGCTCGGGATCGACACCAACAACCTTGCCGCCGGCAGACTGCTCGGCGGACCATTCCTGCCAGGTGGGCACATCCTGGAGGCCCTGCTTCAGGAGTAGCCAGTTCTGATCTAATTGCTTTGCGGCTTGGTTGAAGTATCGTCCATCCGTGGCCAAGGCTGCCTTTTCCAGCGTGACCACAGCGCAGCCAGCAGAACCACTAAAGCCAGAGATGAACTCGCGCCGGGCATCGCAGCCGGCAATGTACTCGGACGCATGGGAATCCTCCGAGGGAATTACTGCAGGCGCCAACAGCAAGTCAGCATCGGTTCGCCTCAAACACTGACGGGTAGAGAGTAGGCTAGACATGGCATACCGTAGACGTCAACCTTGCGCTCCTTCATCAACTCGCGGAGCCTCGAAAGGCGGGAAGACGTATCAACTCGCTCCATATCGAGAACTGCAGAGGAATGTGATACTTGACGACGGGCGCCACTGAACAGAGTGGCACGAGGCGATGCAGTTGACAAAATAGAAAGTGACCGGCGACTTGCTGTAGGGATTGAATGACCGTTTCGGCAAACAAGACTAGAGACAGGACGGAATCTGCTCCAGATCATGAGGTGAGGAGGTTGAGCAGAACTAAGCGACGGTGGCTTGAGTTGGATTTGGCGGGGTGAACGATTACCTTACTTGGGACGTGGACGGACACTGAACGGGTAGATGCGGTGCCTGGCGGGCAGCAGCTCGGGTCGGTACCTACATTACTGCGTACCTACCTACGTGCCTCACCTGTGGCTTCTAGGTACTTTGGAAGGTGGCGGGGTGCCCCGCACAAGAACTGAGGCACATTCCATTACCCACCGGAGCTACCTAGGTACCTCACCTGTTAATCATCTTCCATAAGGTAGGCACCTAAAGTATCTACCTAGGTAGGTAGGTTGGATATCTTGTTACGGCGGGAATAAAGGGCCTCTCTATGCGCATAATTGCATTTCATTTTCGATAGTGCTCTGCAACGTGCCTATGAACATCTTTTTACCTACCTAGGTTGCTTAAAAACACCTACGCAAACACCGTCTTTTCTCGGCAACAGACTACCAACTTGGTTGGATGCATCAGAGATTCAGTCCGTCTGTTCCTGCTCCAACTTTGTCATACCCGACTCACTCTCTTCTGCCGTCGTTGAAGGTTTCAACGGAGAGGACCTACCCAAATCCCAAATTTGCGCCCCCCACTCAGCAACCACTAGGTACCTAGGCACCTGAGGTGTTGTAAAGGAACTGAGGTACCGTCTTGTGCCCACCTCATCCGTACCTTACCTTACTCTTGCTCAATTGCTCGCGCTCACTTGCTCCCATCCGTCACACGCCCTCTCTGGTCGATTCGCCTCCTATCACCATGACAAGGGATTTTGGAAATATCTAAGTCCTTGTTTATCTCCTCGATCATGGATGGTCACTTACCGTCAACTATCCGAGAGGCTGAAGCCGTAAGAAGATGTTCTTTTAAGGACCGATATTCTGTCCCTTATTCCATCCGGCTAACTATTTGATGAAGCTTGTCTTGGCCCTCTATGAGCCCGCGTCTCCCGAGACCATTGCTCGCATCCAAGAGACACTACATCGTCTACAGAGAGCACCGTCCGGCTGGTGGATCGCCCGCGAACTCCTGAACCATGCCGACGACAAGGTCAAGTTCTTCGGCGCGCTTACTCTCATTATCAAATTGAACACCGAAAGGTAGGCTGCTGTTGTTGGAACTCCCATCAACGCATGTAGCTGACATCAAAGTCATTCAGTTCGTCTCTTTCCGAAAACGATGCATCCGAGTTGTTGCAAAACCTCGTCGGCTGGTTCGTCAAGTCACTCGACGATGGATCCGGTGCCATGGTTGTCAGAAAACTGTCCTCCGCGTTGGTTACTTTTTTCCTCTACTTCCCTAGCCGTTGGGAGTGGTGCATCCGCCATCTATGCTGCTCGCTGTCTGAGGGTGTGTCTGTACCACTTGAAAGTATCGGACGTACTCTCGACCTATCCAGTCTCCTCCAGACTGTCCATCCACGCAAGTTGCAAGCCGCCCTCTGGTTTTCGGCAACGTTGGTCGACGAAGCGTCCAAAGTGGAAATGAATTCGGCAAAGCAGTATGTCGCCCAATATGCACCTGCGGCTCGGTGCCCTTGGCTAACGCTACATCAGCTTGGGTTTGCACGATACCCTCATGCGCAATGCGTCGGATGCGTTGGCGGTAATGTCACATGGTTTGGGTCGTGACCCCTCCGCTGACACTGCGAGTAACGGTATCCGGAAGGATTCCATTGCTTGTCTGCAGGTGAGGACCGAGACGTGACCGTCTCCGCGATGTCTCCACGACCGGGGCAGCATTCTCATTCGCTGAGTTTACTGACTGAATTCATAGTCGTGGGTTTGGTTCTCCCAGCGAATGTCATCACATGATGATCATCTCGTCAACTCGCTCCGTAGTCTGGTACAGCCCACAATCGCAGCCCTGGGCGACGAAGAGCTGTATGAGGTTGCCGTGGAGCTTCTTTCCGACATCATGTCCAACTACTCGGGGTTCCTGACTGAGGACCATTACGAGTCTCTCTTCTCTCTCTTTGAGACCCAGTGGTCTCGTGAACGCTACCAGCGTTTGGTCGAAGGTGACTTCGATTTCGATTCTGTTCAGTTTGGGCAACTCATGATTTCACTTGGTGACTCCAAGGTTCAGACTCTCATTTACAGTGTGGATGACCGCTCAAATCGCTTCCTCGCGCGCCTGCGAGGTCTTCTATCTGCCCAGGGCTACCCTGTTAACGAAGACAAAATATTCGTTCCAGCCCTGGAATTTTGGTCCACCTACGTAGAGACTCTGACGGATTGCATCTATTCCGATTCGGAGTCCAAAGCTTGGGTATCCTCGGCCACCTCTCATGTTTTGGAGGCCATTTCGAGTATCTGGCGACGCGTTGCATACCCGCCGCCAAATGTCCTTGGTAGTTGGGACTCGACTGACAGGGCAGGCTTTGGTGACGCAAGGAAAGATGTTGCTGACCTTCTTCAATCAACGTTCACCGTCACAGGACCACCATTGATTTCGACTTTCGCGAATCTGACTCTTCAATCTTTGTCCCCCGAATCCTGGACAGATCTGGAGGCTGCAGCGTTCTGTCTGGGGTCTTTGGCAGACTGTGTTGCTGGCGATGCCAGATGTGATGACACCCTCCGGGCCGTTTTCTTGTCGCCCCTCTTTGAGCTTCTCCAGACGTCGCGAGAAGTCATGCCAGGCCGCGCTCGTCAAACCTGCATTTCCTTGATTGAGCGGTATTCTGACTACTTCGAGCGGGAGACTCAAAGCCTCCCAGCGGCCTTGAACTTGCTTTTTTCGGTCCTGAACGACCCTCACCTGGCCGGGGCAGCTGCTAGGTCAATTCAGAGGCTGTGCTTCTCATCCCGATCCATTTTGGCATCGGAGGCGAGGGCTTTCTTGAGTCAGTACCAAGCCATCGCATCACAGGGCCAGATGGACTGTCTGGCCAGTGAGCGTATCATGGGAGCCATCTCTGCTGTCATACAGGCTGTGTCAGAGGAGAGTGAACGGCTATGTCATCTGGAGGTTCTGTTGGGGTTCGTGGAGCATGATGCTCGCAAGGCAGTCCATCTGCTATCCTTACCCGAAACCTCGCCCGAGATCCAGGGTGGGCTGGACATTCATCGTTGCTCGACCCTGACCGAGCCATCTGAGCTGCCTCTCCACGTTGCGCTGAAGGCATTGAGAGGTCTCATCAGCACCGGGAAAGGCCTACAAGCCCCGGGGGACCTACCCGTTGACTTGGAGAACGAGAAAGCTTATGCGTTCATCGACCAAGGCTCGAGGCTCGGTCAAATACAATCCAAGATTATGTCCCTCATAGTGGAACTTCAGAGCTCCTTCCCACGAAGTGGAGAAGTAGCGGAGTGCATTTGCAACATCCTGAAGACAGGGTTTTCCGAGTCGGAACCTGCACCTTTCGTTTTCCCACCCCAAGTCGTTTGCGACTACCTAGCCCAGCAAACCTCTCACGGCCCTCGCATCGGTTTGTTCGTGAGCACTGCTTGCTCGTTCCTCAGTTCTTTGAGGAGCCTGAAGCGGGACGAGGTGGAAACTATCAGGACAAAGCTGCTCGGCTGGGTCATCGGCCTCCTCCAGCAACTATCTGGTAAGTTTGCATCCCCTCTTCCACGAGTGGCGCTGATCAACCTTGACACACAGAACCTGAAGACGACACCGAACTGGCGCAGAATGGCATCGAGTTTACAAATCGCATGATTACGCGCGAACCGATGGCGCTGTTCCGCCCTGAGTGTCTTCCGCTCGCAGAGTTCTTCTTCATATACTCTTTGAGAGTATTGGATGGGCGCGAACCGCTTCCAAAGGCGGCCGCAGCTGAGTTTTGGGTACGAGCCCACACTGAGTGCGTATGTGTATAATGCTAACCAACATTACTAGGCGACATTTGTGTCCTTGAAGCATGCAGACAGAGGAGCCCAAGATACGATAGACCACGCCATTTCTCAACTAGGCCCTCTACTAGCCCAATCTATCGTTCGAAACATTGGCGGGAATGCTTCCAGAAGCGAGCTGGATAGACTGAGTGAGCCTCTAAAGAAGATGGTGAGCCACCAAGTCAAGGCTCGAGTATGGCTTGAGCAGGCATTGTTTGACCCGTCGTTCCCTGGGCAGCAGGTTTCTGCTGACGAAAAGGCGGTCTTCCTCAAGAAGGTCATCAAGTGAGTCAACTTGCACGCGGACTGCTCCTGGCAATTACAGCGACTGACAGGTTGTAACTTACAACAGCCTTAGGGGTGCGAGAGGAACGGCGCAGGTGGTGCGAGATTTCTGGCTGGCCGCAAGAGGCTCCAAATTTGCATACGCTTCTTGAGCAGACGAACTTCATGATGGTGCCCACGCATCAAGTTGCTGTCTGATTAGCAACGACCGTTTGACGTCAGTGAGGGCACTGATGAAGGTCTGTGTAGTGCTGTACAGTTGTCATACACTATCTTACACCGGGGATTTAACTACCATTGCCACACCCTGCAAAGGTTCAGAGGTTCGTACAGAAAAGAGGCGGGCGACAATATGCGCGGTGGTACTACAGTCCGGTGGCTTCTCTAACGATAGCCATGGTCTGTTCAGCGTTTTGGCGGGCTTTTTTCGCTCCTTGGGCTTCGACAGAGTCGAGATACCTTCCCTCATCGGCCGAAACCAGGTCTATGAACTTCTCACGAATGCCAGAAAATCCCCGGATAACGGCGCCAGAAACTGCCTGTTTGAGGTCTTTCAATGTGGCCTGAGACAGGTCCTCGGCTAGTCGGGTTGGGGACCTTTCCTCAGTATCAAAGATAGAAAGAATTTCTAGCAAGTTGGATACCCCTGGCCGATTTGTGGGATCGTACGAGACATGATTCGAGGAATCCGTCAAGGAGCTCATAATCTTCTTGTGGATTTCTTCAGGCTCGTCCGTAATTAGAATCCGTGACCTCGGGTCGGTGGCCGACTTCGACATTTTCTGAGTTGGTTGCTGTAAGGACATTACCCGGCGAATGGGCGCTGGAAATATCAATGAGCTGAAGTTTATAAAGACGGGCGGTAGCATACATGTAATGGTCTCGGGAGACACAAGGTGTTGGCCAAAGTTATGATTGAAGTTGGTGACGCATTCCCGTGCAAACTCCAAATGTTGCCTCTGGTCGTCGCCAACGGGGACATGAGTTGCCCTGGTATTTAAATTAAAGTCAGGGGGCTTGAAGGTAGGAAGAAAGCCGGAGCTTCAGCATAGTACGAACCGGTGTACGAGAATATCGGCGGCTTGAAGGACGGGGTAGGAGAAAAGGCCAAGCTTCAAGGAGGCCTTGGCTCCATCGTCAAGGATAGTTGCCTCGGAAGAGAGCGACAGTTTGCTCTATGACAGTCCGCTCCTCGTCAGCGATGTACATTTGACAGGCGAAAGTCGTTCAGCCGGTTTCACCAACCTTCCACTGTGTCATACGTGAGAGATAGCCCATAGAGGCTGTACAGCTCAAGATCCACATGAGCTCCGAATGAGCCGGAACCTGGAGACAGAAAATGGTCAGAGACTCGAGGGGAATGGGAGTCATTTAGTTCGAGCGATCTCCTTCATACCGAGGATTGATAGAATAAGGTTGAGCGGCCAGGATCAATACCAGCTGCCAGCAAAGCGGCCAGCATCTCCCTCTTCCATTGCCTCAACTGCTTGGCATTCTGGGGTCCAGTGATGGCGTGCAGATCGACAACGGAGTAGATGAGCTTGCAATGGTCGGCTGGTTCATTTTGGAGTCGAACCCACTGGCGGATGGCGCCGGCGTAGTTGCCCAGGTGCGGCGTTCCCGTGGGCTGGATTCCGGAGAAGACGACTTTTGGCTTTTCCGTAGAAAGTGCGCGTCGGCCCTCGTACGCGCCAACTTTGAGGCGTCGGCTCAACGGTCTCGTCTGCCGCCACATTGAGACTTAGATGTTCTCTTTGGGTTGCACAGCAATGGGTGACTTGGTGCGTAATGAAGTTGTAATGAGGCACGTCGTAGGTTGAGAAATATATGGGTGAAAATGGGTAGGTTACGGCTATTGGAATACTAATCGCTGTATCGGGGTGCAAAAGTACGGCTCAAACTGAAGACGTTCTACGCCAGGTAGCGAGCGATAGTCTTTGAAACCTGTGTCTCCTCCGCAGTGTCAAGTCATGCGAGTTAATGGGTTCTGGTGTTGTTGCGGTGGTAATACAATCGAATTTCCTCGGGACTTCGCCCGTCCTCTTAGATGTACAAAGGGCACATGAGCCCGCTACCAGGTATAAGTACAGTTCGTTAAGCGTTAACTCAGTAACGTCCTGCCTTCCCCTTTTTATTTCCGCTCCTTCTCGGGCCGCCAAGTTGCGAGACACCAAACGCCGCCTGGGTCTGTCTCTCGAGATCTCGGTACTCAGGAATCCGCCTTCGCCGCCGCCTTTCTTGTCAGGGACTTCTCCTGCTTGTACTGGGCTTCTACGAAGCGGCGCGCCCCCTCAGCCCGCTTTCCACTGTCGGTATTGAACCTCGATCTTGCTAAAAATTCCTCCACCTTTTCCACCGTGTCGAGATTCTTGTGCTGGCTGAGGTGTTCGAACTTGGACTCGAGAGCCTTGGACGCATCGTCGGCAACCGTATCCATGGACTTGCCAACACCTGTAGAACCGACGTCAGTACAGAGAATCCAATGATGACACGCCAGGGAAACATACCCAGCTTAGCAAAGTCCCAGACATTAGCCTTCATACCGATGCCGTAATACGCGTGCTTTTGGAGGAAGGCCAGCCATAGTTGCACCGTCTCTGGGTTACCATCTCGGATCTGAATGAGGCGGCGTAGCGTGATACGCTCAAAGTTCTCTTGTGACTTCTTGAAGATGAAACTACTACGAGGGACCGTCCAACGCTCGGTGATTCGGGGAAGCGGCACTGGGCCAAAGGCCGGTAGCTTGAGATAGTATGCTGCACGCAAAGCAAAGTCGGAAAAGAACTCGAGATTCCTTATGCTGTAGGAACGAAGTTGAAGATCACAGGAGGGGATCCCATACTCGGCCTCGCATCGCAACGGTTGAAGGTAGAGAGCTTGAACGCTTCGCGGAAAGCGCAGTTCATTCTTGCTCTTGGCATCCTTCTCGTCTCGACCCTGTCTGGATATGCATGGGTGGTCAGTAAGAAAGTGACGCGCCGGGCATTTCGGCCGCTGAGCCCTTACCCTTCATTCTTGCTATGCTCAGTCTTCGATGTGTCTGCTGTCGCGGATATCTTCCCGAACGGCGTCGGTCGTGAAACTTCGTTGGCAGTCTTTCCAGCTTCGGCGGCGGCCTCGATAAAAGCGCCAGTGGGCGTCTCAGTGGCGAGGCATCGGTGCCACGGCTGTCGTGGGATGATGATCTATGAGAGGAAATCGAACCTTAGTCTGGGAGTAGCTCGATTTGGCCGTCTTCGAAGGTGCTGCAAGAGAATTGAGGGGGCTTACCTGCGATGTCGCACGCAACGTGTAACGAGACGCCGGCCGCAATAGTGAAGTTATGCGCATTGTCATCTCTGCATGGGTGACGGGCGGCCTAGGTAGGATCAATAGGTTCATGAGTTGTCGCGAAGGCAATATTTGGCAGTTGAGGTCACAAAATTCTAGGGACCCGCTTTTATTCATATATCAGATATACCTTGCTGTGTACAGGAATATTTCAAACAGAGATAGGCTCCAATGCGGGACACTTCTCTCAACCACATGTACTCGAGAGCTTGGTGTTCAGAATCCAAGCGCTTATTCAGAAGCGACAATTTCAGTTCCAGCCTGCGTTCGCCCCAAATCACCACACACACACACACACACACACACACATACACAAACGAGAAAAGGTAGCAAGCAGTTGAGGACGGTAAGTTGTTTAAATTAATGCCGGCCACGGCGGCGACGCTCTATGAGCTTCTTGTAGAAGGCTTTCTTGCCGCTCGCCTTTTTCTGTTGAATATCCTCGTACTTGGACCTGAATTTGCCAGACGCCTTTTCAGCACTAAGCAACTCGTCCACGAGGGTCTTCTTTCTCTCCTTGCGCGTCAGACGGGCGCTATAGAACTCGGTAGGTCCTTCGACAATGCGTCCAACGTGAGCGTAACGAGGTATTCTGGCCTTGAGAGCCTCCTTCTTGTAATGCCGCTTGGGGTCGATGGCAGTGCCTCTCATGTGCAGCAGTTGCAGATCCCGCTTGAGCTCCGGGTCGTTTGGATCCGTCTTGGGGATGCCGAACCAGCCAGGGCCAGCATTGGCATTGTCTTGAGTCTATTCAAGGCGTTAGCTCAATGATTCGAGTCAAAGCCAACGCAACCAGAGAATGGTAGGAGGTTCCTTCAGAGTAACTATGAAAACAAGGTATCATTTTGGCGTGGTACAGCAGCCCAAGACGGGTGCTGAACCACATCAACAAGTTAAGCAGGGTTTGCTTCTCATCATAAGGAGGGGACGGTGCGACAGTGCTACCAGGTTCCTTAGACATACCTTTTCTTCCGACGGCCTAGGATCGCGAAGTGTGAGGCTTTTCTGGTCTTGCACCTTGGGCTGGCCCTCAAGATCTTGGGATGGCTTTGTGGGCGCGACCGCGAATAAGCTGCAATCCTTGGGCCGCAACGACTTCTTGGTCGCCAGGCGACTGGCCGCTTCTTTCAAGAGTACATCAAGATGCTCATCGCACAGCTCTGGCATAGCGGTGAAGTGCGATTGAACTGAAGTTGGGGAAGGACTTGACCGGACGTTCGGGACAAGGAAAGTGGTGGATTGGGATGATGGAGGAATTTTTTTTTTTCTTAAAAAAGAGGGAGCTCCTTTCCGAAGGCGTGGTGGGGCAATTTGGACTTTGTTTGGCTGGGGACGAGCCGAAGAATCTGTTGCGGCCTTTTTATGTAAGCAGGACCTTTGCAGCGCGCGCATCCAATGAGGTCCATGCATCCAATTGGATGCTGGCGGGGACTGGATGGAGCGAGAGTGAGTGCCACACTCCAGCTGCACCCCAGCCACGTCACTTCGGGCTGTGGTCACTCTGCGGAGTTCTCTGTACCTCAAGTCGCCTTTTGGGCCGAGACGCGTCCCAGGGTGACGGCATTGCACGTCAGAATAACTAATTTCAGATATATCCCGGGGAAGAGAGTGACACGCAGGCGGTCAGGTTCCAAGATTCGGCAAAGCTCGCTGGTCAGTGGATGCCCAACAGGAATCCATGGATACTTGATTTGGACTTAGGTACAGCGACTACCAAACCACCCGCTACAATTTGTCGAGATGAGAATACCTTGCAAGGCAATATACATGTTATCTACGGATACAGCTCCTAGTGCTCCGTACACAGTTCAACTCATCAGAAGGTGTGGTCAGGTATCCGTACCGAAGTAAGTACACCTACCTTACCTAGTATCTCGCGTGAATATCTACCTAGGTGCCTAGGTAAGTGGTAGCGGCTCAAGTGCTGGGCAAGTAAGGTACCTAGGTACGTGCCACGTAGTCTGCGGCGCAACTGCCAGCCGTCAAAACCCCACGTACCAGCCGGTTCATTCTCCGACTTCTTAGCCACGCGCCTCACCTCACCTCTCACCGATTACGTCCCTTCCCGAGAGGCATCTATCTATCCTTTAGGTAGCCAACGATCGCGGCGCCGGCGCTTCTCGTCCTCGATCCCGCGACAATTCAACGTCTACGACTCTAATTGCAAACACCAACTCCACTTCAGACAACATGGACCCTCAGAATCAATCCGGCTCTCACCCTCAGCAGGGCCGCGCTCAGCCTGTGTATGACACAACCCACGGCGGCCACTACGGTAAGCACCCCAGACCTCACAGCTTTTGCCGACTTGCGACGCGTGAAGAACGCGCCTGCCCGCGCCGATCACGTCCGATTACTTTGCTTCGCTTCAATCTGTTGCTATTGCTGTCGCTGACTGCTACTTTTTCTCTGCCAGGCGCAAGTGCTGCGGTTCGTACTCCGTCCTATCTATCACCCAACGGCTTTTCGGGCCAGTCCACCACTCACCGGGGTGCTCACTGGTGCCTCTCGGCCTTCCGACAACTTCATCTCCTCTGACAGTCCATACAGCTCTCCGCCCAGGGATTCGCTCCAGCCGAGTTATACACCGGTCCGTGGGCCAACGTGCGTCCCATCCCGAATACAGAAACACATCCCCAACCCTCGCTTGCTGACGCGCTTCGCAACGACAACAGGTTCACCAGGGCTTGACCGGTCAGTACAAGGATATCCTGACGACATACTGGCAACAGACCATCAACCATTTGGAGAGCGACAATCATGACTATAAGCTGCACCAGCTGCCCCTGGCGCGCATAAAGAAGGTCATGAAGGCCGACCCTGAGGTCAAGATGATTTCCGCCGAGGCTCCCATTCTTTTTGCCAAAGGTTGCGACATTTTTATTACTGAGCTCACCATGCGCGCCTGGATCCACGCAGAGGAGAACAAAAGAAGGACTCTCCAGCGCTCGGATATCGCATCTGCCCTAGCCAAGTCCGATATGTTCGACTTCCTCATCGACATTGTTCCTCGTGAAGAGGCCTCTTCTCACGCCAAGCGGACCGCCGGCCAGGCCACTCCTGCTGCCCCAGGTGTGCCCGCCCAAGCCGCTCCCCAAATTACCGGCCAGCACGGAGCCATTCCCCAAGCAGCCAACCACTCCGCCTCGTCTCACCCCATGGCGCCTGCCGACTACGGCCTCGCCAGCCACGCCCTTGGACCTGATCAGGATTATCGCCAGAATCCCAACATGTACCCCGGCCAAGTCCAACCCGGGCCCGCTGCACCGTATGGACAAACCCAGCAGGGCATGTACGGTGAGATCGAAGGCATGTACGGGTATGGCATGGCGCAGCAACAACAGGTAGGTTGATTAAAGCCCGTAGTTCTGATTTTGTGCCGAAGCTGACACTACCAATAGCCGCCCATGCAATCGGAGGAATTCGAATAGACTGTTGACAGTGCTTCTGATGAAAAACTTGAGAGAGAATCTGAGCCTCTCTGTTGCCGGATACGTTGCCGGATACGTTGCCGGAAGGGGGATCAGTTCTGTTTTGGTTTGGGTTATGGCGTCGGCGTTCAAGTGTCTCCAGCGGCGATGAGTTTAATGACGCAAAAGCGCCGGATACATCAGTATCCAACGCCCTTGGCACCAGTGCGATAATTGGGTTTGACGTTGCATAAACCTCCACAGGCCAGTCTAGTGATGTACCGAAAATACAAATTGTGTAGCTGCTTCATACCGAAACATCCTACAATTTCGCTGTGGCTGGCAGATCATTCATACGGCGGCTGGGTTGAAGGCTTTGGTACGTCATATTCTCGCGGTCTTGCGATTACTTCATCAGGCCGAATCTTGATGAAAAGTTGGCAAGCGGGGCGCTGCGAGTCGGGCCTTGAGCATTGGATGTGAGTCTATGCAGGTGTCAGCCATTACGTAGTTTAAATACCCAGTAGGAATGCATACTTCTCCAGAAGTATCGGCCCGTTCATGGCATCTACGCGTCCAAACTTCTTGTTGCGAATGGAAATATCAAAGAACTCATCGTGATTGTCAGACTGCATCAGGCTGATGGTTTGTTGAAGCTCGTCCAGGTTCTCTCGAAGCATCATTCCGTTTTCGAGACTTTCAACGAATTCTGTCAAGTATTGGACGTCTTGGGCGAGTGCAGCTACCGCATTGGTGTTGATATGCTTAACATCGGGAGAGAGCGGCAGCGCCTGTGGCCTGCGTGAGTAACAGGAGGGTAGGGAAGCCTTAAACGCAACGGGACGTGACTCACCAGAATTTTGTTAGCGGCATGGCTGAGGGCATCGAAGTAGATGAGCTCCTTGATTTCCCTCGGCAACCCAAGGAGTGTTGAATTCATGATGTTTGATAGATATCGTGTCATCGTCTGCATGTAACTGCTTGGTTCAGAAGAGATGGTAGTTGTCATCCTAAAGCACTTCATCAGTACGAAGCCCGAAAAGATAAGGAAGAAGAAATTGCTTGCAAGCATAACGGTGGGTCAACAACATACCAATCATACTCTGCAGTGTCCACGAGGTCGTCGATCTTGGAGTTCACCAGTTCAAAGATGCGCTTTTCGGCAGTCTTCTTGTTACTTCGGAACTCCTCGGTGGCTACAAGAGTAACGGGCCCACCAGCCGAGGTGGACGACCGTGCCCTGATAAGCAATTGCTCAAGCTCCTGACATGCTGCTTCGAAGTGCTCGAGGTTGATCAGAATTTGCACAATTTGACCCAAATATTGTGAGCTCAGCCTTTCCACGAGTGACTTGCAGACTTTCTCCGTTAGTAATTCGTCAAGCGACTGTAGAAAAAGGGTGGTTAGTCGGTTCAGTCCTCTTCATAGTTGACAGATCAATGGTCGAACCTTGCGGAGCGTGTCGTCAATGACGTTTGGGTGCTGGAAATGGTCGTCGGAGAAGAAGTAAAACTGGTTTAGAAAGTTCCGAATATCGATGCAGCAGAGAGGGTACATTTGTGAAAAAGGCAGAACACAGGGAAAACTGGGGATTTGTTAGTGTAAGTTCAGGGGCCCAAAACTGGTGAACTTGCCTCAGTTCCTCCAGGGGCTTTTCCTGGGAGAACCAGCTTACGTTGACCACCTTCTCGTATTCCTCACGGGTGTTGATGGCCATAGGCATGTAATCATCCGTCGAAACGATCTGGTGCTTGTCAGCGGCCTCGAATGGCATAAGTAGCGCAACAGCTTTTACCTCCTGGAAGTCTTCACTGAAGCGACGCTTCAGCAACTCGGCATACTTGTCGAATAATTTGAGAAGGAAGTTGTCGAGCATAGAGACAGAGTAGCCCCATCCCTAAGTGAGCATTAGTATTGGGCAGTTGCTGAGATGACATATGTCAGATCGGAAGAACGCGCCTGCATGGTCTGAATAAACAGAGCTATGACACCTTTAATCTTGAGGAGAATTTCGGCGTTGCTAACTTCATTCAGAGCCTGTGAGGTAAGAGTAATGGCGGTGTGGCACATGGAGTCCCAGAGCTCGTCGACCTGGATCAATGTTAGCACTTTCAAAAAGTGTTTTGCGGCTGTGTCGCCTACATCTACAGCCGATCGCAGATGAGGAGCGCGCCGCATGGTCGCCTTCTCGATGATGGCGAATCCTGCAATACCTTCGAGTAAACTGCTGAGAGAGCTCTCGTCGTCCGCGACGAGCCCCACAGTACTTGGCAAGAGTAGATCCTTCTGCTGCCGACGTGTGGTGGCGTACTCGGCACGGAACTTCTCGATCTGACCAAGGGCATCGTGAATATGGAGACATTCGAACAGAGGGGTGAAATCGACCTGGAGCTCCTCATTGTCGAGCACGTCAAACTCCTCGCTCTCGTCGAAGACAAGCTCGATAGATGAGTTTAACTTGAAATTGTTGAGATATCCATCGCGTTCGACGCGTTCCCTCTGCCTTGCCCTTCTAAGTTCGGTGTGGTAGAACGCGACCTCGCCGAGGAACTGTGATGTTTCACGAATTCGAAATAGCCAGGTATTCAGATCCGTCATGACGGCTTCGGATATGATCTTTTGAGACGCCGGGATCGACTTCTGGATTACATCGGCGAGTTTGTGCTGGGTTGCGTACTTGTTCTGGATGGTGGGGATAAGATGCTCGTTCTGCAGGTCTTCCAGAGACTTCAGGGCGGCGTAGTACTTCTTCTTGCGAATCAGATCGTGGGCGTGATTGACGGCGTGGAGAATCTTAAGAGACTCTTCCAAGGCATCAGAAGCATCTGCGATGTTCTGACGCACCGCTCTTGTGTTCACAAGGGCCTGTTTCTGGTCTGCGAGCTTCTCCGTGCTTTGTTGGATGGACTGGTTCAGACTGAGGATTTCGGCCGTAAGTTTGACGGTACCCTCGCGAACAGTTTGGAGCTGGTTAACGGAGCCAAGAAACTCCTCATGTTTCGTTAACCCAATTCTTTCGATGTCAGACTCTCTGTCTTCGGCGTATCGGGCGAGGTTCTGCGTAAGGGAGGGGGTTCGATTGGAGTTGGAGGCATCTTTGAGGACGGGGATCAGCTGGTCAAGAAAGTCCGAGTCCGAGGAGGTCAGGATAATCTATACAGAGTCAAGTCAGTCATCTGGCCCTACGTGTGGTCCTGAGTAAATGGTAGAATCCAGGTCAAGACGAGAGGCTGATCACCTGTTGGACGGCTGCGCCGTAATCATCGTAGGTCTGCGGGCGACGCGGCATCTTGGCCCTGCCCTTGCAAGATGGTACCAGTCGGTTTGGCGTCGGACCTATCAGCAATTGTCCTTGTCGAAATGACTTATTTTCGTAACAGGCGGGGAAAGTAGCTGGTTCAGCGGCAACGATGAAAGAGAGATGCCGTAGGGTGGGCGATTGAGCTACCTACCTAAGGCACCACCAACAAACAGCTCGTGAGGCGGTGGTGATGTTGGATGGATCTGAAGGAACTGGAGGCTCTTCAGTGGTTGCTGGATGCACCCGACCGACACTGCCCCCCCTCCCCCCCCCCGCCGACGGGACTAATGCAAGCGGAGTGCCTACCTTACCTACCTACCTTAGGTACCTATGCCTCAATAACACCACCAACACGTGAAGGGCGGCACTCAGGCTGTTCCCCAATGGGAGTGCCCGCGCGGCATGGGGAGGTGGGTGCCCTGCACTGTAAGGTACCTTAGGTAGGTACCTAGATACCTAAGCTATCTTACCTATCCCACGCCATTACCCGCCGGAGGTAAGGTACCTGCCTAGGTAGGTAGGTGAGGTAGGTAGGTGGTGTGGAGGATGTCCAGTGGGGCTAAGGTGTCCTTAGCACCCGGTTGCAAGACACCACTGACTTCACCTGGTTACCTTCCTCCGTTACTCACCTACCTAGGTATGAGGCTGCCTACCTACCTAAGTAAGCTAATGCTCGGAATCACTTTTCCTGGCGTACAGGTTCTTGGTATACTTCCACCTATTCTTTCTCTTCCGTCTACATGAATTTGAGCGCTAGTCTGAGCGGGTTACGTTAGGTGAGGTATGCGAACATGACGGGTCGATGCTCCATTCTGTTCATCCGCCCCATAAGGCCATCTGATGTTCCTCGACACATTTACGCATGATGTGTAGATGCCGATGGAGGCGGCCGAATGTATGTGATTCACAACCGAACTGATGCATATATCATGATAGGATAGTTATCAAACAGACCTACACATCCGAGGGCCTCAGAAGAGGACAGAAGGGCCAGCGGTTCTTTGTGTCCGTCTTGTGGTGACGGTGACAGGCCCACCTAACCTCCCTGAGTTTCCACCATAAGGTCGTCTTCATTGGGCGAGCAATTCAGGATCTTAGGTAGTACCTTAGGCGTGGCAGTCTCGACAGGAGAGGGAACTATCTAGGCAGATAGGTACTGCGAGGCTGCGAGGCTGCGATGGCATGCCTCGACCTAATTGCTACTCAGATGCGGCGTCAAGCCCACCTTCCGCGGAGCAAATCATGGGACTCTAAGGTAAGTAGGCATTCACCTCGATCTCAAACTACTTTACCTTAAGATACCTTAGCTCCGCATGCGAGAGGACCTACCTACGTTTGTCTTCTGGCGGTGAAATGGAAAGAAGTTTACCATCTCTCTGGAAGCAATCGTCGCCTGGGATAGGGAGTGGACGTAAGGTCACGGTAGACATCTTCCCCGAGGTGCCTTCCATGGCGTTTCCTTATATCTACCTTAGGTAGGTACCGAGGAATCATGGCGTGGGCTGGGCGCACAAAAAGTTTCACGCCTTTCTTACAGAAGGAGCTGATTTTGCACCTGCCATGATATCACGAGCTCGCTCTTCCACTTTCATCCCTTGAGGAAGGAAGGTGCCACGTTCTTTCCATTTCCCTCGCGCCAATACCCAGTCAGTGGTAGAGGTAAGATACCTTATCCATATAAGGTAGGCAGGGAAGGAGCGCGGTCCGACAGCCCACCTTCCATCTGCGTGAGGAGACCTCTGTGCCTTCCTTTCTATCTCTCTCGTCGGCTGAAGAGATTTTATCCTCCAACTTTCAGCAAGTCTTTTCCTCCGCCAGACAACCCAAGAAGGCTTTAGTGTTCCTCCACTTCGCCATCTTCTCACCTTACTGTTCCGTTCTATTTCTCTTCTTCCCCTTCCCATACTCCAAACTCTCGGCTTCAGTCTCGCCACCTTCCTGGTCACCTGCCTACCTAGCCAGTCAACTGCGACTCGGACTAAGCCTACAGGCCGACGCTTCTCCCACATAGGTAGAACGCGCTCGTCAAATTACCGTGTCGGGTTCGTGGACTGGGCTTCTTACCTGGCGTTGTCTATTCTGGCCAGCTTAAGTGTAGTCCGCACGACCACGGTCAGATCGTGAAGTTGACCCTCGACCGCCTGTCAGTCACCAAGAGCAGGCAGAAACAACCACCAGCACAACGCTCACCGACAAATCCTCTTTCCCAAAGGTAAGCTGTCACCGCCATCTTCCTTCTTGCCTTTTCTTGGGCATTGTCCTAGTTATCCGCTGCGTCATCAACTTTGGAGTCGACATTCATCTCATGCACCTGAACTCAGGAGACGAAAATCTGCAGGCATCATGTCGCACCCTCGCGAAACGGTTGCCTTCAACCCGTCCTCTCCACGCTCTTCCGTTGGAGGTGCCGAGTCCTTCAAGGGAACACCAGACACGAGACTTACGGCCTTCTCTCCTGAAGAGGGTTCGGCCAAATCTTCTCGCCTTCTCAAATCCCTGGGACAGGGCTCGCCAGAGGTGACACCATCCAGATTCCACTCCAACACCTTCGGAGGTGTCATTTCCAACGGCGACAAGGATCCTTTTATCACAGCGACCTCTGATTCCGCTCTTCAAAAGCTTTCACCCACTGCTTCGGCCTTTCAGCCTTTCGTCACTCACATTGTCACCCCCGATCGCGATTGGCAGAGGAACTCAAATTTGCTTCCTCCCTGCCAGAAGGATGACGGCGAGCTGTCACAGTGCCTCAGTATAGGCTCTCCTAGTCGTGCCCTTAGTGGTATTGACTTGAGCTCGTGTTTTGCGGTTCGTTCCATGAGATGTCTTGACTGTTTTCCCCGGCTAATGCCTCATCAGAAGCTCCAGCGTCTAGGTCTCTCGGTCCAGGAGCCAAGACAGGCTCACTGCAAAGGTGGGAGGATTGCTGTACAGTTTGGAGACATTCGGGACGCAGTTCTGATTCACGACAATCTCCATCGCGCAGAGGCTGACCTCGAGGCGGAGTACATATCGGACGCCAATTTCACCGAGGTATGATTCCTTCCAAAGAGTGCCGATTTTGTCCAATCTGACTCTCCTGTAGCGCACTCGACGGAGCAATGGCAAGTCTGGGTCCTGGGTGTCTATCCTTGCCACTGCTACTCCCCCGGGCCTATTCGATGTGGCACGTTTCGAAGCAGTCATCAAGCGACATCTCCAATCCAAGGGACATGTTTTCGCATACCGAGCACAGCAGGGACATGATCCTGAAGTCTACAGAGCAGTCGCGGAATTCAGTGATCCTTCTGAAGCCTTATCATCTGTAGTTTCGCTCGACAACAGAATCATCGAGGTGAGCCGGCAATGACCAATGGACTGGTACGTTCTATTTTCCATGACAAGCTGACAAATTGAACCAAGGGCGCTCACACCACTCTCTCGTTCATCGATACGAGTGACGGTCTACAGACGGCGCAAGAGGCGCAAGATGGTTCCGTCGAAGGAGCTGACATCTCGCTGCCCAGTCAGGATCTGGCGAACCCTTTCCAGGCTTTGGCGATTTCCAAGACTCCGGCCCAGATGTCCATGATATCTCATGGCGCAGGCATGTCTGTGCCGGGATCTCAGTATTCGCCTCTCGGTATCCAGGTTCCCCCCTTCGCCATGTGGCCAATTCTGTGCCAGCCGCAATTTCAGCCAAGCATGGCGTATCTCCTCAACGGTGGCCACTCCTTGTCAATGCCACCGGCCGCGCACAGCCCTGCGGGTTACCAAGTCGTCAATCCGCTGGTCTCGAACCACCAGCGAGGCATATCGATGGCCGGATCGTCGACCGGTAGTCCCAGACCTGAGCCTCGGAGGCAGAACGCTTCGCGCGTTAACAGAACCCCGTACTACAATGTCGCAAGCCATCACAACCATGTCGATGTCAACCGCATCCGAGAGGGGACGGACGTCCGCACCACGGTTAGTCAACTGGGAAGATCAAGGGATGTGCACTAATGACAACACCAGATCATGCTCCGTAATATTCCGAACAAGGTGGACCAGGCAATGCTCAAGCGCATCGTGGACGAGTCCAGCTGGGGAAAGTACGACTTCATGTATCTGCGAATCGATTTCGCCAACGATTGCAAGTGAGTTGCACTGAGAAAGTCGATTCGTCGGGCAATGGGCTAACCGCCGGTCTTTCTCAGCGTCGGATACGCTTTCATCAATTTCGTAGATGTGAGTGTCGTCTTGGCCGTTTTTCTTAGTCGAATACTAACTCACCACCTAGCCCTTGGACATCATCGACGTCAGTAATTCGGCCTGATCGTGTGGGTCATTGCTGACAGATGATTTAGTTCGTCAACACCAGAGGCAATCAAAGATGGAACTGTTTCAAAAGTGACAAGGTTGCCGAGATCTCCTATGCCAGTGAGTAGTCGGGTAGCGATCCGAGATCATGGTTTTCCACTGACCGTACCTCAGCTATCCAAGGCAAGGACTGCCTCGTTCAGAAATTCAGAAACAGTTCTGTCATGCTTGAGGCTGCACACTATCGTCCAAAGGTCGGATCTGGATCTATCTTGCAGAGGGGTGCAGTGCTGACCTGCATCTAGCTGTTCTACACGTCCAACGGACCGGTCCCCGAGCTTGCAGGAGAGGAGGAGCCCTTCCCGGAGCCAGACAACCAGTCCAAAATGAAGAGAAGCTGTGAGAACGCGGAACATGTTGGTATGCATCGAGCTCCCCAACCAAATGACGCGAGATACTCACGCAAGTCTTACAGGACTCTTCACACCCAACGCCGGCCAACACTTTCGGGATGAGCAACGCCGCAGGCGCTCGCAGTACGACAGAGGCACAAGGCTGGCCGCCCTTGAGGAGCATGACTTCGAGGCGAACATGCAACCCTACATGTATCACTCGCAGTGACGAAGAAATTTTGGAGCACACTTGAGAGACGGATGACCAAGCGAACCATCACTTTATGGCTGGGTTCTGAAAGACTAGCACGCGACTGGGTTTTGTCCACATACACGGGATCATAGCTTTGTTTGCTATATATACAGGAGCTTTCTGGAGGCGTCGACAATGTGTAGTCATTAGTACCTAGCTAGTCCTACAGAAATATTCATGGCTCGTCAAGCGGGATATCGGTGCTAATCATCGTGACTAAGTCACCCTGGTATCATCACGAGTAGTCGATTTGCTTCAGTCAGGGCCTGACCACCCTGCTACCCTCACATAACAAGCCTCCATCGCACAGAAAGTAATGCTGTCTTCCCTTCTATCACGCAACAAACAAGCAGTCCAGATTTTTGGGGGGGGGTTGTTTTTCATAATAACCCCCCCAACCCCTCCAAAAAAAAAAAAAAGGAAGAAAGAAAAATCGAGGGTATCGTACTTCTAAAAACGTTTCATTCTGGCAGAGCAGGCAGAGGTTTCCGAATAGAGGATGTGGTGATTCCGCGCGTAGGCGGAAATCGTGAGTTGAACCCCACTTCTGATGTCACTCCTTCCGACTGATCCACATCATCAACAGGATAGCCGCGATTCACCGAGCTAGCCTGGTCTGCTATGAATGCGTCCCCATCCAGGGACGGGGTGGCGGGACCCGGGGATGAGCTGCGATAGCTGGTGCTGGTCTCGGTCTTGACATAGTGGTCATCTGCAAGAAACCCGGACGTCGCGGCTCCTTCTGTGCCGCACCTCGCGATATTCGGGCTTGGTGTGACCATACGGCCTAGCGCAGCGGAAGTAGGTCCTGAACCCTGACTTGTGTCTGATCGATCGCCGTCCCCGCAGTCGGCATTGTCGAATGGAGGCCCGAGCTTGTCGTATCGGGGAATGAAGGTACTGTCTGGTTCGCGATCGGTAGGTGGCCCGGGTAAGGGATGATTGAGACTCGACGATCGGCCAAGGTCGAAGGAACTCGTTAAAATGGGCTGTGCAATGGCCCTGGAGAAAATGACGAGCACGAGGCATGACAGCAGGAGGATAGCCTGCACTATAGCCATTCGTTTCTGAAATACCACCTCTTCTGCGAGAATGTTAAGTCTGGAGCTGAGTGCCACTGTTTCTCTCTGTGACTGCTCCCTCTGGCTTTCCAATGCAATGACGGTTGACTGCCAAATTTGTTCGTACTGCTGCCGGACGGTTCGTAGCTCGGACAAAACGGTGTCATTGAGGCTGTCCAGGAAAACATCAATCCTCAACAGCTGTTTCCGTTCCGCTAAGTGTTGGGTCTCCTGAAGGGAACGTGATTGGTCTTCGATATACTTGAGCGAGAGGGTCACGTTAGACTCGAGGTATTGCAGACGCTTGCTGACCGCCTTGAAAAAGCTCTCCTGGACGGTGGGAGACGTAGGCGCTGTAGTCGAGTTGCCCTTGGCACGAGGCTGAGCGCTGCCTTGCGGACTTGCCTTGGTGGAAGAGGAGCCAGCACTCGTATCCTCGCCTGCTGAGGAGCGTGGATCAACATGAACGTTACTTTGGTGCGCGGCCATAGAGGCCGAGAAAGCCGCTGTTGGGACGGCACTGGCTTCTAACTGGCTTGGGAGTGCCGATGCTGCCGAGGATGTGCTGCTCTCTGCGAACTTCGCATTCGGGCTACCACTGCCAGTGCTACCTTGAACAGAGCCGCGGACTGACTCTGCGTATGCTGCCTCGTATGCCTCCGTGGGAGTCGACGCTTCCGGGGTATCGACAGCGACAAGTATAGTGAACTTTGAGCAGGTGGAGTGGTTCGAGCCGACAGGCAAGAACAAGTTGTACGGCCGTGATGGATCTATCGAGATGTCGAGGCTCACGTCATGTGAAAAGTCTTCCGCTGGTTCGAATGATGTGCTCGCCTGCTTGTTAGAGCTATTGACGGTTTTAATCTCGCTTGCCGGACCCGGAAGCTCTCCAAAGGGCTCGTCGGCGGCGTCCTCGTCGTCAACGGGTGCTTCGGTGTCCTTCCAAGATTCTAGCATGCGGGTGCCATGGACTCGTAGTAAGGACACGGGGCAGTAATATTCGTTGCCGTAGTGGCTCAGAAACTCGATTCGGACATACTTCGCCCAGATCAGAGGATTTGGTACAAGGAAAGGCTGGATATCTCGAGAATTCTTTGCCTCAAACGTGCCCAAGTCCTTCCACTTGTCGACCTTGACGGGGTATCTGTCGCTAACACTCACGCGGAATTGGCGTATCATGCTCGAGAAGAATTCGAAATTGGCAAGCACAATGGTATCAACAAGAATGTCATCGCTCAGCTCGACAATGACGAATTTGTTTTCTGCCGCACACTCCAGGAGCATGTAAGAATCTTTGTTCTCGAGCAAAATGGCCTTCGAATTTTTGGCTCCCCTGTTCGTCTTGAGCACTGTTGCGCCCGCGTCGAATGACGAATATGAGAATCGTTCCTTGCAGGTCTTTCCAGCGTCCTTGCTGCGGTAGTATTGCGTCCTGCCATCATCATAGAGCACCGGCTCTTGATGTTCTGACGCGGTTGTTTCGGTCGGGGAAGCTTGGGGCGCCGAGGCGATGTTACTGATTTTCTCTGAAACAACGTCGAAGTTGAGATCGATTTCGCCGTCGTCGCCTAGACTGTCAAGCCCGGAATTCTTTGTGACTCTTTCGTGCTCCGCGGCTCGATCGTGTGTGTTGCGTGTCTTCAGCTCTGTTGGGTCCTGCCCAGCCTTGCGAAGCATCATCTCCTTCCAGTCCTCAAAGGACATGAATGGCCGGGGACTCGGTTCCTCTTTGCTTGGAGTGTCATAGGGCGTGGGCGTGGGAAGGTCGCTTCTCATGGATTCGGCCGAGGCATCAGATGTGAGCGTCGCTTGCCCAGAAACGCCGGAGTCGGTCGTCCAGTTCTCCTGTAAATTCGCCGCATCGTAGCTAGTACCGTTGTTTGCCCCTTGATCTCCGGGCCAGCTCGTTCTGAGGCACTGCTGTGGCAGCGTATGGGTGATGTAGTTGATCGTTTTGAAGTCGCAGACTGCTGTCTGGGGACTTGTAAGATGCGGGTTGGAGGTGATCGTCGGCTGACTTGACGATTTACCATACAAGTATGAAAGAACCACGATGACAGCCGACAGTTGCCTAGGTAGCTCTCGAAGCCGCATGGTGTCGCCAGGCCGAGACCGACACTGGTACTTGAAGGTGTCGTGGAGTGGAGTGGGGTTATGAATAACAAGCAGCTGTTACATTCACAGCGACCTTAGAGCTGAATAATATATATATATATATATTATACTTACAGTACTAGCGCTAAGGTAAGACTACCTAAAAAGCTTAATAGAGAGAAAGTACATAGTATAGAAAAGGAAATCTTTATTTATTATAATATACCTAGTTTAATTAAATCTTAAAATATTTTTTAATTTAAATGTTTTATTTTTTTTAATAAAATATAATATAAAAAAGTAGCCTTTAGTAACTATATTATATTTAGAAACTATATTTAACTAACTTTAAGTTTAGTTTACTTAGTATAATTAATTAATAGATATCTATAAGAATAGATATATAAGTAGCTAAAGAGGTTTAAAAAGGACCTATATAATATAATATAATAGGCTAATATATATTATAATAGAATTTAATAAATTTAAATATAAATAAGTATAAAGTAGGAGTATTACTTAGCTCTAAGGGAGCTTTATAATAGTTTATTAATATATATTTCTTAATTATTTAATATAATTTTAATATTTTAGTTTATATTATCTCTTAAGATAATAAATAAATATAAATAATAATTAAAATAATATTAATTAATATAATTTAGCTTAACTAATATCTTTAAATATATATAAGTTTATAAAAGCTATAAAAAAAGAGAGAGTAATAAGCTTTATTATTAATAGTAATAATAGCTTAAATCTATTAAAATAATATTAAACCTTCCAATTATAAGTCTCTCTTTATAATACCTTTATAGTTCTTTAGCTAAAAAGATAATAGATAAGATATGTTTATTTTATTATTAAATAAATATAAAAAGCTAGCTATTTTAAATTAAAAGCTTATTCTTTATTTCTCTTATTTACTATTATATTTAAATTCTTTAAAATAAATATTATTTAATATAATATACTATATATTAATAGCTTAATAATAGTAATATTAATTAATTAATATATATTTATAATATTTAGAGTATTAATAGCTATAAATATAATAATTTAAAATATAATATATTTTAAAATAATAGATAATATTACCTATATATCTATATACTATTTTAGAGAGTAAAGCTATACCTAGCTACTTAAATATATACTATTTACTTAAGATTTTTAATTAAAGAGGTTAAAAATTAGCTTTAAATAATATTAGATTTTTAGAAATTAAATATTAAATTATTTTTAGCTATAATATAATAATAATTCTAATTCTTTTTTAATAAGCTATTTATAATATAAATAATATTAATCTTATTAATATAAAATAAAAATATTACTCTTATTTGAAATCTCTTAAGGATTCTCTAATAAATCTTAAAAATAATAAGCTTATAAATTAAGATCTCCTACTTAATAGGGTAGTTCTCTAAGAGGATTAAAAAATAAAATAGATTTTAAATTATAATTATATAGTAATAATAAACTAAATTATTTAATTAAAGTTAGTTTAATAAAAGTTAAATTTTTTATAATAGCTTATTATAACTTTAGCTTATTAACTTTATTATTAAAGTTATTCTTTAAATAATAATATTAATATTAAAGTTAAAAATATTAATAAATTTATATTAAAGACTAATTACTAAAAGTATACTAAATAGTTATAAGATTTAAAATAAGCTTTTAAGAGAGTATTTAAATAGGTTTAAAAGAATTTTTAAAAAAGTTAAAATTACTTAAAATTATATAAATTTTAATTATTATAGCTATTAAAACCTTTATAAAAATAATTTAGTAATAGATTATTAAGTTGATATTAAGAATTATTAATTCTTTATAGAATAAATAAAGACTTTTATTAAAGATATTTAGTTTTAAAAACTTAATATTATATATTAAATTATTAATATATAATAATAAAATAATTAAAACTTAAAAAACTATTATATATATCTTTAATCTTTAGAAGAGGAATTTATATTTAAACTAAATAAAAAGAGTATTTTTAAGTTTTATATAAATTAAATTAATAACTTAAAGAAATATATATAAATTAGTATTATATTAGAGATAGAGGTATAGCTTTATCTATAAGGCTAAGAGGTTATATAATAAGTATTAAAACTAAATTAGTACCTATAACTTAGATCTTATAGCTAGAGTATAACTAGAAATATATATAGCTAATTCTATATATATAGCTAATTCTATATATATATTAATTAGTTAGAGAATTAAGCCTTTTTTATTCTATTTAACTTAATATATATTAACTAACTTATAATAGTTATAAGCTTAGCTCTGATTAAATAAATTATTGAAATACTCTCTCTTAAGTCTACTATATATATTAAAGAGATCTACTTTATATATTCTTTTTTATAAGACTTATTAAACCTATTAATAAGTATTTTATCTATATAATAAAATTCCTAATAAAGTTAATTATTATTAAGTATATCCTTAATATAAAAGAGAACTAACCTATTTAATAGGCTAAATATTTATATTATACTAAAAGCTAAAGTATTTTTTATTTTATTAACTTTAATTTTAAGCTAAAATATAAGCTTATTAAAAATAATAAATTACCTCTAACTATTAATAGTTTTATATTATAAAAATATATAAAATATATAGCTAACTATTAAACTAAAATTACTAAGTATAAATACTTAAAGGTAGCTATAGAGTATATTATAGCTAATTAACTTTAAGGTATTCTCTAAATAATTCTAATAAGACTAATTAACTTTATACCTATTATTAAGAATAATATATATAGTAATTAGAATAATATATTTAAAATTTATATTATAAATATAATATCTTTTAACTTAATACTTATAAGATTTAAAAACTATTAGAATTATATAAATAAAATAGTATATTTATTACTCCTTTAGGTAGTATATATAGATATAATCTAAATTAAAGATTATACTCTTTAGGGTATTTTTAAAGCCTTTAAAGCTAAGTTAATATTTATAGTAACTATATTAAATATATTTATAGTTATTAAATATAATATTATTTTATAAAAAGTCTCTATTAATATTAATATAACTTATTAATTATTTAACTAAAAAGAGGTATATATAAAATATTACTTTTAAAGTATTCTATAAATAAAAAGAATAAATATAATTATTAACTTCTTTAAGGTAATTAATAGCTACTTTAATTTAACTTAAATAGAAAAGACTATTAATAATATTTATTAAGCTGAAATACTTAAGTAGCTTATATCAACTCTTTCTTAAGTTTTAAATATATTTAAAATAAAAGTCTATTATAATAATATCTTAAAAAAGTCTCTAAAGCTTATTAAGTACTTTTTAACCTTTATTAAATAGTTTAACTTAATCTTAAATATAAGCTTTAATTTAATTTAAGTAAAGTATTCTTATAAAAGGAGTTACTTATAGATAGTAATTAATTATTATTATATTTAAAAGGTATTTATAAATAAATTTAATAAGCTTATTTATATAACTAAAGAAAAAAACTTAAAGATTTAGTAAGAAATATTTAATATTAATAAGTAGTTTATACTTATAGAGTAACTTAAATAAAAAGAATAAGTTATAAATAATAAAAAGGCTATAGCTATAGCTTTAAGAATAATATTAACTTTAAGATATTAAAATATATTTTTTAAAAAGATTATTACCTTTCTATTAATTAATTTTACTCTTAAAGACCTTAAAAGGAGCTTATTAAATATTTTTAGTATATTAAGTAATATATTTTATTTATTACTTTATAATATAATAGTAAATATATATAGTACTACATATTTAATAAATAATATTACTCTTTTTAAGCTTAATTTATCTATTTAGAAACTTAATATCTATTTTATTTATTATAATAAGAAAAGACTTTTAATTTTAGAGAAGGGTATTTATATAATAAAGAACGCCTTAATAAAATAAAGGAGACCTTTATTTAAAAACCTAATATTAAAGGAGGTAATATATATAAAGGATTTCTATATTAATATTATATTTAAGATACTTATTAAATATATTAAGATATAATATTATAATTAAAATAATATTTTATATTCTAGATCTATAGTAAATAGTATAACTCTTTAGAAATTTATATATTAAAATAATATTCTCTTCTTTAAATATAAGCTTATTATTAATTACTCCTTTTTATAAATCCTAATTAGCTTAATAGGTATTATAATTTATATTAATAACTTATTAATTTATTTTAAAAGACCTTTATAAAAGCTTAAGCTTAATTATATTATTAATATTATACTTTAATATCTTTATATTAATTATTTAAACCTTAAGGTATTCTTAAAGCTTTTCTTTATAATAAAGGGAATAAAAATTATAAAATTAATAAAAATCTAATATAAAATATATTTAATTATTTAAACTTATTAAATTATTTTAAAATATTTATTTAAAAATAGATCTCTTTAACTATTTTAATATATCTTTTAAGATCTTTTTAATTATTTATTAAATAGCTATAAAAACTCCTTATAGCTACTCCTTATTAAAGATAAGTTTATAGATATTAAGTTTAAATTTATACTACTTAATAAAAAATAAGAGAGTATTTCTTTAACCTTTTATATATTTAAAATATAAACTAAAAAGTAATATAGCCTCTATATATATAAGATTTATTAAAATATTAAGTATATTATTATTAAAATCCTTAATAATACTATATTTAAGAAATAAGCTTATAGCTATAGAATTAATTTAAAATACTTTTTAATAGAGATTAAAAAACCTATAGAAAGTATTAAAAGAGTAAGAAAAGAAGTTATTAATAAGAGATTTATAATAATACTTATTATTAATCTCTTATTAAAGATATAAATAGAAATAATATTTATTACTATTTAAATTAATAATAACTATTTATATACTTTAAAGAACTAAAGATCTTTAAATTAAGTTTTTATAAAATAGTTTTAAAGCTATTAAAAGTAATTTTTAAGGGATTTTATATTTATTTTA